ATGGATAACATCATCTAAGATCAGTTAATCATTCCCATTTCCTTCAGACCTTAAGAAATGCCTTGTGGACCAGCACACTGCGCTATCACCCAGCTAAGTGGAAAACCACAGTTTATCCCTACTTCCTCAGAATTTTTGCCATTTTAGTTACAATATTTCTTTAAAATGTTTCTCAATATTCAAACAGAAGAACAGCTCCATTCTTTCTTCTTCTTGGGGAAGTAACAGCATCTCAGTGACAAAAGAGACATGGCTGCATCCACAGTAGCCCATGTGCACCATGGTACTCAGCAGGTGAGAGCTCTTAGTGTGTATGCCTATGTTCTGTTTCTTACTAGAAAAGCCATATGGGCTGCCCGTTTGCAGGCCAAGGGAGCCCATTCAAGTCAACTGGAGTTTGGAAACTATTAGTTAAAGAAGAGGCACTTTGAATGCTGTTACCAGTTTCCCAAATCTCAGCTTGTCTGGTGCAGGAGACTCCTGCTTGGTTCACTCCAAATGCAAGGAAGAACCTCAGCTGCCTCCAAAGCAGAGAAAAAGATTGGAGCAAGAAGAGAGGAGCTGTTTATGACCTTATTCCCTACAGAGAGGAGCAAAATCTATTTTCCCAGTAATTTGTGGCTATACCAGCCTTTCAAGACACATGGCGAAACATGGCCCTATTGTTTGCATGGACAACAGATGAGAGTGTGTAACTTGGCAAAGCCCCATGCACTTACATTCACCATTAAGTTATCTTAGCCATATATCAACAGGTTGGGGGAAGCTGTGAAACAAAACCTCCCTAACCCAAAGGCAGCCCTGTTTCTTGCTCTCTAGTGTCTCCTACAAGGCAATGCCTTTCCATGTGATGCCCATATCGGTGGGGAGCACAGGGGTATCACACGCGCATCCAACACCTGATAAAGATGAAGAGAAAGGACTTGCAGCAGGAGTTAAGATGTTAACTTCCTAAGTCAACGTGGAAGAAGACAGCAGACATGAAAAACAGCCTGGCAAGACAGCACCACTACGTTACAGGCTGAGAGCTGGCAAAGGGGACCCTGCTTGTGGTCTGCTCGTGGGAAGCTGATGCCAGATGCGGCAGCTTGCCACCGCGATGATGCTCACAACAACTACTGAGGCTATGCTGCAGTGGCTGCCAGATCGCTGCTGGCTCTCACAGCCTCCACGCTGTGGCTGACAGGGAGAGGGAAGGGAGACTTCTGGACTTGGCAGCGCACTGATCCCTAATACTCAAAATCCACGTGCCACTTCATAACACCCCTTTCCTTGACACCTGAGCAGTATAATCCTTGCTATTTACATGCCAAGTTGCAGCTACTGAGCTCAACGGAGAGCTCATTGTGTTATCCTGTTTGTGCAAGCGGTCAAGAAGCTGCTTGTCTGAAGTTGCCACAGGGTAAACGAGGTCCCGCATCCTCTTCCTCCTGAGCAGCCCCGAAGCATTGCATCTCCCCACCTTGCCTTGCACACTCCAGCCATCCTCGCAGGCTGTGTCAGCTTTTCCGGCCACACATCTGAGCACAAAGCCTGCCTCTGGGCCTGTTGTTAACACAGTAGTAATTGACTCTACCTGTCAAGCTGTATCCTCAGAGCAGCGCTTCAGCAACATGCTGGCACTTGCCAAAGGCTGTGCAAAGCCTGATGCCTGTCAGGATGTGTTATCCTCCCTTGCCTGAGGGTAACAGGAGGCAGAAACCCCCATCACACACCCAGCAGCTGGTGGGACATGGCTGCGTATCATCACAGACATAAGCAGCTTGGTCTAGTGGAAGGTGTCCTTGCCAATGGCAGGGGGTTGGAACTGGATGAGCTTTAAAGTCCCAAACTGATGGACCTTTTGGTCCAGGGCTTTTCTTTCACAAGGTGTTTGCTCTGATGTGATGCTCCAAGGGTTCAGCTGAGCTCCAGGCATGGGACCAGTAACACCAGCAGGTTCCCAGGAAATTATAAGGAAACCTCAGCTGTGCTTGGCTAAATTGTGAGTAGAACTCAGACAAACCCAAGTGTGTCTTGGAACTAAACTTTGCTCCTTCCTTTCTATCTCTGTTAAAATCATACTACTCATAAAACACATTTCAAGCAAACATCAGGCGTGATAGCGCAGTATCAGTACTGATGCTCTATGTGGAAAAAGAGATACAAGCACACATCAGTAACAAAGATGAACAAAAAGAGAGCTCAAAGCTCTTTGGGTGTATTTCCTGAAGATTTGCCTCTAAGCCTCTTTCTGTAACAGGCCTTGAGAACTTCTGAAAGCATTACACTGTTTGAAGGTTAATACAATCTGCAGTGCAGTCCTTTCTGATGGTAGCTACTCATCTCCCACAGCATAAGGAAACCCTATCACTTCCAGCTTTGCACTTCTTGACGGATCACTAGCTATAGCACCTCTTCCTGTGGGTCACATCCTTCAGTGATAGCCCACCTCCTTTCCAGAGGTCAACTAGGATTGGAACATTGGTTCTGCATGCCAGTCTAGCATGTAACAACAGCTTCTCTCATTCCTTTTCCTCCAGCACCATGCAGACCACAACCCTGCTGCCCTCACAGCAACAGGGCCTTTCTTATTCTCCTTTTATTTATTAATTTTCCCCAGCTGCTCAACCAAACACCCTAAAAATCCACAAAACCACCATAAAAAGCCATTCTTTTCAGCCACCGCACTGGCAAGACTGAAGGCTTAAGTGACTGCCCGCTTCAGCTCCATGCCTCCAGCCTACGTCTAAACCAGGCAGCAGATCCAGGCGCATACAGACTCATGTTATTTCAGTCTCCCTAGTGCATTGTACTGTAATCACAGCTCTCCACGTAGCCCACCAGAGTTCAGCAGGGCCCACGTGTTAGAAATGCACTGCAGGGAGAGCAGAGCGGGAGGTGGAGTCAGCTGGTTCCACGACACATTCACTATGTCCCTCCTAGCTCTGCAAAACTTAACTTCCCTGGAAGGGTTTCAAGATCTGACTCATGTCCAGTTCTTCTATTTTAATCATTCCCTCTTACATCACTCTCGGAGGCCCACGGTGTCACATGCAAACTGCCCCAGCCCCTGCTCCTCCTCTGCCGAGCACTTCATCCTCCACCACCTCTCATCCCAAACAAAACTAGGTAGAGAAACGTATTTGATACCAACTCCTTCCCTACTCTCCAGAGCATTCACCAGGTTTGGATGGCAGCTTTCAGGAGCCCTCCCTTGCAATGACAACACTGAAATAGAGCAGGAACAGTAGCCATGCCAACAAACCGCGTGGCGTGGGGATGAGAGAGACCAGAAACGAATCACAGCAGGCTCACTAACGCTGCGAACCAGCTGGGAGACAGCACAGGCCAGGAGATAAGTGCTGGGAAAGGAACCAGGGAATGGTTCCTACTCTCCATTCTCTCAGTGACTTCCTGAATAACTCTGGATTGTCACTTAATCTTTTCCTTCACGCTCAGAGTACAAATCATCAGCATCAGCCCATTCAAGATTTCTTATTAATCCTGATATCATGAAACAGGGATGGAGCCAGAACTCTCTGAAGGAGCCGGGTAGAACAAAGGTGCTGATGCGCAGCCATTTAATCCCTTCTCTAGATCCCAGCCTAAATGCCTCCATGGTTGAGAGATTCCCTGCTGATCTCAGGGGAGCCCCTTGTTTGTAACAGTGACCTCCAAACAAAAACCTCTTGCCTGGAAGATTCCAAACACTAGCCAAACAACAGCTGGAATGCTTTGAGCCTCCAGCGTGCTCGGTGCAGAAACAAGGCAGAGAGCAGAAACCCTGCACCTAACGACAGTTGCTTTGTTTGTTTTACTCTGGTCAATGAGTCACCGTCCCATCGATGGGCTCTCTGCAATTATTCATCACAAAGGTTTCTGGGGCAACCAGGGGCTTTACAGAGCTCTCGGTTATGGTACAGATTTCCACCAGCCACCCCAAGAGAATCTGCTCAACCTCCCTTCCATCCCAAGGAAAGAGGAAGAGCCAGCAGTGATGAACGTGGCACTGTTGGGATGCTTGCATGGCTTTGACTGTGAGAACACCAGTGAGTGTGGGACTGTGCAAAGCCGGTGTTCGCATTCGAGGGTGACAAGGAAAAGCACTGAGTTCTTCCCTGTGTGGGTGAGTGGACATCTCACAATGAGCCCGTGAGTGCAGTGGTGTCAGGGGATCAAGGGAAACTCAGGCTAACGTGAAGGACAAGGTGCAAAGGCAGTGAGACATGGAGCAAAAACCATTCTGCTAAAGGCACACACAGAATTGCTTGTAAGAAGGCTGCTGTGGGAAATGCTTTCCTTTCTGTCTTTGCCCTCTTGCCTCTACTCATTTCAGTACTTTTCCCACCTGCTTTCAATTTGCTTTTTGCTACAGTCAGCACAAACTCCCTTCTTCTTCTATGCAGCTTTCCGTTTCCCCTTGTATTCAGTGCTACTTGAAAGCACCTCTTCCTCCTGGCCAAGCTCTCAAATCTACCTGGTCTCCTTGCTCTGCAAACATCATCTGAATCTGTAGCTGCATTACCTCTGTACCACCACCACGGACAAAAAGGTTTCTATGTGAAAGTGCACTGGAATTATACAAACCAGGATGGTACAAGGGTTGGCGAGAGTCACAGCAAAGAGGCAGCAAACATGATGGGAGTGATGGAGCATAGAGCAGGCACAGGCACCTGAGATGCTGCAGTCACAGTGGGGAATCAAAAGTGAATTCATGGAAGAGGATGGTCAGAGGGAAGATGGAGGGGAAGACGTTGCAGAAAAGAATCTGAGAAGTGTAAGATCTAAAGCAGCACAGAGACAGTGCAAAAAAAAAGGGCAGAGCATAGAAGAAAGGAAGAGAACACCATTTGTATCTTCAGGTTTCTCCCTGCTAGAGAAAACAGATATGGAAAGGTTTGTTTGATCTCCCCATTCAGTTCCCATCAGAAGACACGAAGGGCCCCAGCCCAAAGCCAGATGCTTTGTTTCCAGTTTCATTCAACAAGGTCTGCATATTAGACGAGGAAAAACTTTACCGGCCTACCCATCTTGCCCCTCTTCCCAGGAACTCCAGGGATCCCCTGCAAGGAAAACACACAGAGAAAGAAGAAAAATAACAGGTCTGGTTGAGAAAGCAAACAGGCAACCACCAATACAAACCAAAGCTAGAAGAGGAAGGGGAATGCAAACCAGGCTAATGACTGCGGCATTGTTGAGGAATCAGCTTCCAGAGCAGAAGACAATTAACCTTCACCCATTAGTTACACCCCCCCTGAGGACACATGCAGGCAGCATCCACACCCAGGGCAAGAGGCTGGAGCTGTGTTTAGCAGGAGCAGTCATTAAGCTACTGGTCTGGAAGTGACTGAAGGCCACCGCGAAGGCACTCGCCAGAGAACTTGTGTTTATGTTTCTTATTTAGTTATACAAGCATTAAATCAGCGACTCTAGAGCGCAGGGTAGTCCCCTCCCAGGCAGGCACACACACACACACGCTCACTCCCACATGCTCCCGGGACATTGCTTGTTTCTGGAGCTTCCATTGGAGGGAGAAAGAGCTGGAATAAAACAGTCTTCATCGTGCAGTGGCCCTTCTTAGGAGCTCTTGCAGGGAAGAGCGGGTCTTGGATGGGCAGGGATCAGACAAGTGGGGAGATGTGGGAGCAAAAAAGCAAGGGAGGTCCTGCAAAGCTCTGGATATGTGGGTTTGGAGGAGGCGTGATGAAAAGGATGGAGGGAAGGGAGGACACATGGGAACTGCAGCCATAACTGCCTGTCCACAGGCCCCAGTCTTGACTGCTCAACTTGATGCAACTGGAAGGAAAGGCATTGTCAGAAAACCCCTTCCAAGAGCCAGGTTCTTTCCAGACATCTCTGGTTGGACAGCCAAAATGCTGGGGTGCTGTGGCTGGGACGTTACTGCTGTGGGAGCAGGGAATTTCCACATACATCCTTATCCCCGCCCCATCCCACTAAGACGAACTAGTAAGGGAGAAGAGGAAGGCAGGGGATTAAGCGAAGGAAAACCTCTCCTCTGTACTCAACAGCGATGTGCATTGACCCTGTTTGAAGCCTTTTTTTTCGCTGACATGAATGTCAGTATTAGATAGAGACATGGGTCTCCATGCAAGGGTAGAAACAGGCTAAAAAGGCATGGGAAAACACTAGGGATGCTTGCCTTTTCCCTCCAGAACAAGGGATAAAGAAGGTTACAACAGGATCTGAAAAACTGTATTCAAACAAGGTTTTCTCCACAAAATACTCACTCGTTCTCCATCAGCCCCTGGTAGCCCAAATAATCCTGGGAGACCAATGTATCCCTAAAGGAAAGAGGAAACAAGTAGTCAAATACATTTCTCCCTTAGCAGCCAGTCAGTCTTCCCTGAACAGCAGAGCATCCTCCAGCGTTGGTCAATGGCAGCCGTGATGAAATAAACCTTGAGGCAAGTGTATATGCCCATGGACTGCATGGTGCTGGCTTCCACGATGTAGTCCAAGGGCACATACCCTCACACCAGGGATCATGAGGACTCCAGGCAGGGAGAGGCCAGCAAGAAGAAACCTTACCTGGGCTGGCACTAAGTGAACCTGGGGGAAACGGAGCTTGGTTCAAGGTTAGCAAGAGTGAAAGCAGAAATAATCCACATGCTTACACCTCCTTTCATGGCTCTTTCCCTGCCTTGGGCACTCATTCCCGACTGTGTTGGGGAAGCATCCTGTTGTACCAAGCCCTTTCTGCTTGTCCTCTACCACATGGTGGTCAAACACTGCAGCTCTTTTGTATGCAAACACCACCACTTTCTGGCAGTCAAAGCTGCTGACCACATCCTTGCTGAGAGAGGAGTGAATCAGTAATAGCTCTGCCTAAAGCCTTTCCATGCAAGCCATTGCACCGGCAAGGCCTTGTGCAAACACTCTTGTCCACCCAAGCACCAAAGCTGGGTCTAGGCAGAGAGAGGCTGAAAGTGCCACTTCAGGCTCTTTGGACTGATGTACAAGGCTCACCCTGTAGATAGAGACCCTCTGACACCCAACTGCAAAGAAGCCTCCTTTGCATCAATGTGTTTCACACAAAACCTGCTCCTTTCACACTCCTCATTTTCAAGTACGTGGCCTTGGGATCCTGCTCAGACAAGACACGCTGCATCAAATGCCACATTTCCCTTCCCTTCAACAATCCAAGCCTTGTGTTTAATCCTCTCTGCTCGGCAGTTAGCACAAAGTTACCTTGTGTGCTGCTCCTTTGCAAAGGACTAATTTCTGCCAAACATGCAGAATCAAAAGGAAGTGAATTTCAGCAGGGAGCCCCCCTCAGTGGCACCTCTCTGTTACGGGAGCCAAGTGTTAACACTGATTTTCTCTCATCTTTCTTCCTCCAATCATCACTACTTCTCTTCCTGTCAACCCCACCAAACTTCTTCACCACTCCCTTTAGCTCATGCTTCCTTTAGGGATAATACCTAGCTGGGAAACGTGGCTACATTAAAATGGTGCTGTCTGCCTTTGCCTCCTGAATCCCAAGTCAAATCACATAACTCCTGCACTACTTCCTGCAGGAGATAAAGAAGAGAGGTAGTGGATGGAGGAGAGCCCACAGTTGGCTCCCTGAATGCACAAAATGCTGATATCCCATTTAGTACCCAGTTGTGATTGACTGCAACTGAACTGAGAAATGGCTTTCCTGAGTAGCCATGAATATTTCAGTGCTTGGCACTCAGGGGTGCAAAGTGGAAAACAGTTTTCAAGCCTCACATTCTGCACATCCACCGTATGACAATTACATGAGGTGCTGGTTGGGCCAGTGACATAGAACTTCATCACTTGCAGAAGTGAGGCGGGCAAGTTGTGCTATCATAGGATAGTTAGGGTTGGAAAGGACCTTAAGGTCATCTAGTTCCAACTCTGAGATCTTCCTCTCTCCTGCAGGACACTGAACATGCCACCTCCCTTCCCAGCTCAGGAATAGCCACAGGGTCAGCATTTGTTTATTCCTTGCAGTTTTCCTAGTGATGAAAGCCAGCTGCTTGAATTTACTGCATACAGAGAAAGCATCGCGTTAGAGAAACGGGGGATTTTATTGGGTCTGAATCTCATTGTGAATTGATAATTGCAGGAAAAGAACAGAATGTGATTAATGAGAACCTTCAGTGGTAAAAAATACATAAAAATAGTCCTCTGCAGTGAGAATGAACCTCCAGCAATTCAATTTGATGAGCAAAACCGGGCAGAACAGAGGTACTGTTTGTATTTGCACATGGCTTCAAGATGCTGGCTTGCTATTTGGCATAATGGTATAAATCACTCCCAAACCCAGGACTATACCCAAAAGAGCCCATATTCAGCGTGGTCAAAGACCGCTGAACCACACTTATTGAAACTAAAGAGGCCTTTGGGAGATGGGGCTGGCAGAAAGGCCAGACTTTGGTCTTCGGTAGGAATTTGTTTGCCATTCTTTGCTCTCCTGCAACGTGAGCTCTGACTTGGTATCATCGGCACTGTTATTGAACTTTGATCTTGGTGCATTCCATGTTTAATATAAAAAGTGGAGCAGTGGTTCAGTAAACAAGCCATGCATGGTTGAAACCCTCAGAATCCAACAAATAAAAACAAATAGTTTCAGGATTGCAAAATTAAGCATAAGGTTTCTTGAGAAGCTTTTGGTAAAAACAAGTAGGGAAAAGACAATGAAAGGCTGCTTACCCGACTGCCTTTTGGGCCAGCTTCCCCTATGGGGCCAGGTAAACCCTAGAACAGAAGGGAAAAAAACAAAGACAAATGTGGACAAGCTTTAACCTAACCCATCGAGCAGTGCCAAATCCCCAGCACTATCCCTGCGTGGTTCTGCTTTCAGTGCCCAGCTCAAGGCATAGCAACAAAGGAGAAAATAAGGACAAAACATACAAATAACAGATCTCCCATTGTTGAGGAGCTAGGACTCTGCAGAACCTGAGACTGCTGCACATAGTGAGCCTTCCCCGGGGCTGGAGTAGAGATTTCTGATCAAAAAGGCTAATGCAGCAGGGTGCACAGAGCTTGTGTTACACTTGAGATGCGATGGACAGTGATGCTCTGTACCCAACAGCCCTCGATTCATTTTCCTGCCTAACTGAACACATGCACAGCAATCACAAATGTATTTCAATACCTGTTTAGGGAACACAGGCAGACCCTGGGGCAGTGAGAAAGCCTCTCTAATTCCTACAGCCCAGAAAACCACTTAGCAGTGTGGGTACCACAATCTCTCTAACCTTTTGCAGCATCGACAGCTATGGAAAGAGTAGAAAACACATTCCTTATTCTACTTCTATTCCTATTGCTGCTCATTTAAAGTGCTGTGGAAATAAACCCAGTAAAAATGCATAATGGATTTTCACGTTTATTGTCTTCTAGCAAGCTTCCAGGTCAATTTTTTCTCTAGTTCCAAATGTTGTTGGGCTTTTTTGGAAGGGAAAAGAGAAAAAGAAAAGGCAAAGTCCCTAGTTTCTTTAGCTGGCAGCACTGCACACACAGCCTGGGATGTGAAAGTCAGGTTGTGCTCTCTCCTAGCTCTTGTATGGTTGCCAAAGATTTCAGCCATGGGGGTGAGGTTCACAGTCCTGCCTCCGATGTGCAAATCACAGCAGAGCCAAGCTCCCTTTCCCATACTGCTGCAGAGCCAGCAGAGACAGGAGTAACAAGCAGTAAAATCTCAGCAAAGTAAACAGCTCCAATGCTGGGTACACATTTCAGATAAGCTCAAAAAGCTGCCTTAAGAAAAAGCCTCTTTCCTGACCCAAAGCCCGTTTTAAGAAAGCACTTTTGTTCTTTGTATGTCAATGGCAAAGATTTCACCCTGCTTATCAGATGGGCAGAAGGCTGCTGTGAATTGCACTCATTAACCTTGTGTGTCCAAAATAGCTTGGACCTCTTCTTTTTGGTCATCTAACACACCTTCACACCTAGGAGCTTCTTTGGCATTCAAGTCTCTAAGAGCCTTTCAGAGTATGAATGGAGCATTTAGTCAGGTGCATAAAGCTCTTTATCCAGTTCTACCATCTGCACTCTCCAGCATGCTAAGCAAGGTATCCGTTTAATTTTCAATTTAAAATGGATCATTCATTATTGATGGTCCAAGGCAGGGGATGTAGATACGTTCTGTGCATCTACATCATTTTTAGTCCAATAACCTGCACACATACGAACTCATGACAAGCCTGATAGACTCATAACAGACTGCCTGGAGTCTCTGACACCTGCCTGCCTCTTGGCAGAGACTTAATGCGGCTAAATCCAACATTAATGTGTCCATTAGCAGGACAAACTCTTTTCACTGTAGAGTGCTACAGGGCCAGGTCTTCTGCCCTCCAACACATTTCATTTAGGGTCTTACAATTCTTTCATCTTAATTTTCTTCCTACTACTCAGCATCTTACATCAGTAAGAAACGAAGTGTCCAATCTTGATCCATTTTCCTTTGAAAACAAAGGTTTGGTGTTCTTTCATCATCTTTTTTTTGGCAGCTGGAAATACAGTCTTTGTATGCATTTATGGTCCACAAGTAGTTTTATATATATGTACATATATGATTCTGCTAGTGAATTTTAACAGTGAGAATTCATCTGAATAATTTCTTACAGCAACATGCCTTTTTCTGTCCCAGGTTCCTAACTTGTCCAATATTAGATGCAAAACGTGCCTAATACTCAGGCATAGTCCAGAGGTCTGCACTCTCTTTAGTGGGACACGTATTCAACAGGGCACACATTTAGCTACCTGCACACCCAAATCCCTAGTCTGTGCACAGCACGATGAGATTTACTGCACCTGCCTGCCAGGATAACCTTTGGCTCCTGGACTTCCATCTGCTCCTCGTTCGCCCTTTGGGAAGAGAAAAGAAAAGGCACATCAGGTAAGGTGGGTGTCACACTTGAGGAACCTTTTTAGCTGCTTTATTCTCCGAGCTGAGAAAAGGGGCTGGAATGGATCAACCTGATGCAAACTTATAGAGAGGAAGCAAATATTCAGGGTAAACAGTGGGATAAATGAATGAGGAGGGAGAAACACATGGAAGCCAAGTCAGTAGGATCCATGCATTAAGCAAGTGTTGCTATTCCTCCTTCTCCCTCCATCTGCAGTGAAAGCAGCAGATAGTTTGAAACAAGGAGGCTAAGAGAAGGTGCAAGGCTGCATCTATATCTGGCATATGGAACCATTTTACTGGGGTGGAAGCACTGCCAAAATTCTTCTAAACTAAATGGATTCATGTATAATATCCTTTAACATCACTGCTAACAGGGCCTGCTATTCATTGCCTTTTTTTTCCTTCCTGAACTGCAAACATCAGGCTAAACCAAATAAAGAGGGAGGGGAGAGAAAAGGGGAGGATGGGAATGGGCTTTGGGAGGGGAATTACATATTAGTACTTAATACGATGTGGTTAGTAAACTCCAGGTGAAGTTAATGTAAAAGGAAACATAAAGGGGGTAGTAGGGAGCTGGTGTTTCTTCCACCACCACTTAGTATTGGTCTACAAATGAAAATGAGAAATCAAATGGAAACTCCAAGGTAGTCTCCTCCCAACCTGCCGGTGCTTGGTCAGTGCATGTGTACAGCTGGAGTTCACTGCACATCCCTGTGTGTACTACGTTACCCTGGGAAGGAGCTGGCTGGCCACACTGAGCAGGCTGTACAGCATCCAAACTAGCAGCAGAGTCAGCAAATCCATCCCCCTCTCTAAAGGTTCAGTGTTGGAAAGGGGGAAGACTCACCTGGTCTCCAGGGTGACCTGGCGGTCCAGGGTAGCCTTTATATCCCTGTTGAAATAGGAGAGAAGAGATGAAGAAGAAGGAAAACAACAACAACAACAACAATAATAATAATAATAATAATCTGGTTTTGGTTTGAATTTCTGCAGGTTTTGGTTTGAGATTTCTTTTGCAGTTCTAAGAAGCAGCAAAGTTTTTGGTATGGGGTAACACTGCACCATCACACACACTTTCACCTGCTTTATGCTGCCAGTGTAACACAGCGTGCTGGCAGCAGCAACCTGCACCCACTGGGGTCTTGCCTGGTGGTTACTCAAGGACTTGCTCCATGAACAGACTTTAAGCAGTATCTACACTCAGATCAGTCTATTCGTAACCTACACCTTTAGCGAAGCCCTTAGGAAACTATAGGCTGAAACGCTGGCTTAGGGCAAGTTGGGGGACTACACGATATGAGTCACTCCTATTTCTGAGCGCTCAGTTTTGCTTTAGGACTTCAAATGCCATAGAAAACACCAAAATAACCTTTTACTATTAAGGGAAACTTGATTGATTTAGCTTGGATTTGTCGAGCTTCCAGATTTTCTAATTTAATTACTACAAGGTACAACACAATCCCCAGTCCTCCTTTCTGAAGCTACCTAAAATGGTGAGCATCTGTCTCTTAACCTGCTCTCTCTGCTGGGTTAATGAGAAGGAGTTTCTTAGTCCAGCTTGCTAACTGGCAAGCACTGCAGGCTTCAAATCATTCTCACAGGTTGTCCATAAACCTGCTTCAGGACAAAGGCAGCCTGTTTGGCTGCAGACTGATCACTGTGTATTCGAAGAGTTTGCTTTCTCCAGGCTTTACCTAGGGCTCTTTTCAAACACAGTAAATCCTGCAAGTGACAGGCACTTCAGGTACATTTTTTGCTCCCTTCTCCTTTGTTATCTTGCTGCAGCTATTCAAAGCAAACTCATTTCCACCAAGTGGAGTCGGAGCAGATGAGAAGATGAAATCGTTACAGTTTAGCTGGGTGACCAGCAGGATTTATAACAAAAAAGGGCAGAAAACTTAACTTGAAACAAATGGTGAGAGAGAATAAACAAGAAACAATCCCTGCAGAAATAACGGGGTGCTTTTGGAGTGGGTTACAAACTGCTTGTTGTAAGTCAGCCTCTGCTACTCACTGTCCCCAGCCAGGGCTCACAGCCACATTGCCTGTCTGTGAGACCCTCAGGGGAGCATCCCCCTGCTCTGGAAGTCATAACCAACCCCTGGTTTGGCTGAGGGCTTGGCCTTTTCCTTCACTCACAGATGAACCCAAGCCTGTTTCTGCTCCCAGGTCCACACCTCTTCTTAATGGCTTTTTTATCCTTCCCATGAGCTAGTGTAGACCCGCAGCCTAAGCCTCCGCTGGCAGAGGGATGCGATGCTCTCAGCCATCCCCACTGCTACCCGCTCCCCTTTGCATTCCTCCTTGCTCATAATTCAGACATTCTGGCCTGGAAAAATGTTGGTTCTCTTTCCATCAGTTCTCTCCTGCTTGACCTTGCTGATGTATCATGGTCTTCTCTTTTGACTGAGCTGCACCTCCTAAGGAGGTGGTAGCTGACCTGAAAGACCATTTGGCTACTGGCTGGCCCTTACGTGAACCACCTTGAGGGCCCTTTCTCTGTATTTCAACCACCATTTCAGCAGCTCTTGGAGCAGGACCAGCTGATGGGACTCCCTGCCCCTCCCCAGGAATCTGCTCCATGAGATCCTCCGTCTCCCTGGCTCCTTGACAGGGGCTCAGCATCAGACAGGAGGGAGGATGCTACACCCTGGTTGGGTGTCTGGCCTGAAGGTGAAGGCATGTTGTGAAGGTCCAGACCCACCCAGTATCAGTATTAGCCATCTCTGGAGCATGGACCAGCAGGGTGTTGTATATACAGAGAGCATCTGTTCTGGCCCCATGCTCACCTCCTCCAGAGAGAGCTGCCAAAAGAAACAGCCCTGGGTTCAGCATCTCCAGACGTGCCCTGGGATTTACACAGAGCCCATGGGGTTTCCTCTGTCCAGCTCCTCCAGCCCCAGCCTGGAGCATGAGCTGCCTTTGTCTCCAGAGAGCTGGAGCACCTATTTCCACAGATACAAACACTTAGAGATGTCTGCTCCCTCCACTGGTAAGAAATAGGTGCCTAGCTTGGCTGCTCTGAATCCTGTTCTGGTTGGGATCCTGCAGGATAGGGATGCTAACAGTATGTCCTGAGCTAGTCTGCACCAAACACTGCCCTGCTATCTTTATAACAGTAAGTAAACAGCACCTAAGTTAAATATAGAGACACTCTACTACTAAATCCTATTGCATCCTATATATATACACACACATATATATATACACACACTATATATATCATGAGTTCTGGGAAGCTTTGAATGTGTATTTCTTCATAGTATCCTGCCATTATTTCTGTCTCAGGTTAATTATAGCAAGGAGAAAACTAAAAAGGTTCTGAATGCTAAAGCTGACTGCAATGTGAAAGTATTTACCTGCTAAAGTCCTCTTCAAATAGCACTAAAATGACAGGGCAGAGGGTACGAAAACAACTGCATTTTCCCTTTTATCCAAACACTTCCTGATGATTACAGGGTGCTCAACACAAAGGGCTGTGATTCAGAAAGGAAATTGCACTCCAGTGAAGGATTTACTCATCTATGGTGATATTTATAATCTACTGTCTGCTAGCTAAAAAGGATTATCCTGCACTTCGATAGGAAATGTGAAGAGTAAAGAGGCCAGCAAATGAGATCTGCCATAACAGGATGTGTTTTGGAGCACTGACCAATTCCCAGTTGTCTTTACTCTCTGGGTGACTTAAACAACGCTTTTTCTCCCTCACTGCTGCTGTCTCCTATGATTCTCTGCTTTGCTACAACCATTTTTCTCCTCTAGAGCATTTGAGGCTGGGAGCAATGACAGTGCTCTGCTGAGATTTATCTGCAAGGCATAGTAGTCTGCAGCCCCCAACCAAAAATCAAAGCCCACAGACATCAAAGAGGACAGCCAAGCCCCAAAAGCAAAAGCAACTCATCGTGTGGAGAGGATGAGAGTTACATCTGCTGATTGAATGCAGTTCCATATACTCCTAAGATGGGTGCAAGGCAAAATGAGTGCTCCGAGGTCAGACATAGCATCAGATCCTACACATAGCAAAGGTCCGCATTCACCCTGTGAGCTGCACTACCCAAAACCATATGCTGCTTGGTTGTGGTTCCAGCTCCTGCTGCTGAGCCAGTTGTTTCATTTAATGGGAAAAGTATTTTATTCCCCCTTGTGAAGTATTTTGCCTGTTTCAAGGCTCCTACATGGCGTTCTCAGATCAAAGCCCTTCGAGCTCTTTTCACATGGGGTGAGCAGGAGGGATGTCCATTTCCAAGGCATTGCTGTTTTCTGGTAGCCAAGATGCGTTGCCCACCATCAGTCAAACACCCCAGCATATTTTCACTGGGACAATGCCAGCAGGGAATCCAGAGTAAAAAAAAAAAAAGAAAGGGATATTTTTCCAAACATTTCTCCAACAGCTGTAAAGTTTTTCTTAATGCAGGATGCTAATAAAAGCCAGGTTACACCAAAGCCACTGCCAGAGCAGTGCTACTGAGAGGTGGGGTTTTCTTTAAGCTGCACCAAAGGAAAAGATTCAGCATCCAACTTGCTCTTTACTTGAGGAAACAGAAGCATACCCTTTCCTTTGCCCTATCCTGGGGAGCTGAGATCAGATATAAAGGCCATGTGCTGGACTCGGGGAATGTTGGTTCAACCTCCTGTTCCTTCTCTGCTTTTTCCACTCTGAGCCCTTGCACTCCTGACGTTGCATTTTGCTGATCACAACCACAAGGTTTTGGTTTATGAGCTGTCACAGCAGGAAAATGCCATTCTTAACACCCAATTTGTTAGAACTCTTTGTGACAGCAAAAGATCAGTAATTAATCACTCTGCTGCTCCTAGTTCCACACAGCACCCCAAGCTTGACCAGCCTTGGGAGCTTAAAAATGAACTCAGCCCCTACTCTTTGCAATATGATTCCCATATAAAACGTATAACAAACAATCAAGGAGAGGGAAGGTTTCTTTCAGCCTCCTCCACACCTTCTTTCTTCCCCCAGAGGCTTCAAGCATACCCGAGTAGGTGTTTGTGTGCGGCTCATTGGCCCGAGGATCAGTACATCTTCAATGGCCCATTGACTGATGAAGTGATTGAAACAAGATGCTAATTTGAAGTGTTCAGCTTAGCTGTGCCAATGTTGGCTTGTTGGGAAGGGGAGTTGTGTCCACTGAGCCCAACTATCAAACGCTCCCTGCAACAGAACCAGCTTCCAAAAACCAACCTACCAACACACGCTGTAATGGGAAGGACAATTGAAATACCCTTGATATATAAAAGACATGAGCTGAAGGTATTGTTATTCATATATAATTATATATCATGTATATTAATATACACTTAAGGATTGCCAAAGGTATTGCTGTGCAGACTTGAATGCATGAGTACAAGCACACACACTGCTGTAGCATGAAGGCAGGGACAGATCTACCTCTACATAACCTTTTCTAGGCATAGGTATGCTGTTGGTGATGTTAATGGTGTTCAGTGATCACTATGGAAGCAAATACAGTAAAACCCAGCTAGTGCTGTTGATCTCCAAGCAAAACAGAAGGAAGCAATACAGATATTCTGTTTGAAATGAACTTTACCAGGAGAGACAGTCAAGCTTTCCTTGGAATACCTAAACCTGTCCTGAATCCCAGCTGTAGATCCATTTAATTATAATGTTGGCTGAACCAGACCTAAATTCAGCTTGCTGATGAAGACCCAGTGTCAGGGTGCAGAGGGACAATGTGGTGCAGTAGGACATGGAATACAAAGAAGGAACAGATATCTGGATCCAGAATTTCATCTCATAGTCTTGCTGATACAACCTTTAGGCTATGTTCCAGTCTATACACCTGTGGAATTGGCATGAAACCTATTTGTTGGGCACTAGGACTTAACTACATCCTTTAGGCAGAGTTAGAGAACAAAACTTAAAGATGCTGCCCTAATTCACTAGCAAAGAATACTCTTACCTTTCTACCAGGCGGTCCAGGGAAGCCGGTCAAACCAGGTAAGCCCACGTCTCCCTGTAGGAATCAGTTGAATTAGTTTTTCAGCAACATTTTCCCTATGTCTAGCATATGGGAACTGAAATTATCTGCCAACAGTAGCACCCAACATTGATATTTCTGATTCTAATTGCAACGTTTCAAAAGCTGATGGATAAGAAGCACAGATTTAAACAACATCTCTATTAACTGGCTCGTATAAATCATAACCCCAGTTAACTAATGGCAGCTGCTTCTGGAGTCCAGCTTTTTGCCAGCAGAATGAATGATGTGTCCTTCATCGTGTGTGTGTCCCCCCTCAGTGATCTCATTTAGTCACAACCCTTATTCTCCTTTTGATAGACATTTAAACCACCAAGGCAAGAAAATGTTATATCTTAAATGCAATAAGAGCAACAGGTACCTCCTGTGATCTGCTCACACTCGGCTACTGCACTGTCTCAGCCCACAGCTCCAGTGCAGATGATGGGATAGTTATTTAACCTGCCTATATGACATGGATTGAACCTTTGCAGGCTGCTGGTGGGGAGGTTCCCTCAGTGGCCTGTGCTTTTGGGAAGGGTTTGTATCACATCCCAGCTGGCATCCCCAAACCATAATGGGAGTGGATAAGCGCATCGCTGTGAGACCTCTCTAGCATCCAATCCATTTGTAGGAGCCCATTTCAGCCTCCTCTGATTAGGATCAAAAACCCTTTCAGAATGTCTAACCCTCTGCTGTGCCTGCTTCCTAAATCAGCATTTGGAGTATCTAGCTCAAAAATTAGGCATCACTCCAAACTCCTGCTGGAAACTCCTTGTTTCTATTACTGCTAACAGGAATAAAAGCCTTGTTAACACGAGCTAAAAGCGATCTGCATCTCTCCCTTTCTTACCCTGAGCATGCTTGTGAGAAAACAGTTCCAGACTGTGGGTGGATGATTTCCATGCGATGCCATTCCCATGTAGTGTAATGGGAATTTCAAAAGGCATCTCGTGCTGTTAAGCTGAAAGCATCGGTCCAGACTGAGCCTTCCAAGTGTTTTGCAGCGTCACCCTCCATCTTGCATCTCTGTGGCTTGCTGTGCTTCACAGAGGCATCTATTTTCAGATGAAGGGCTCATGTTCTTCATGGCTGATGCTTTCTATTAGCTGTGCATTTATAGCAAGGCTCATGATGAAAGGAAGAGAACCAGGCTTCTTGCCCTGGACATGAGTTATGAAGCATTGTGCAGGCACGCCACTGAAGGAACTAATTGAGGTGGATGCTGTGGAGCCATGATCACTCCACCATTCATTTTTAGACTTCTGTGAGGCCTTGTTGCCTCAGTAAAGACTTCTCAGCTGTGAAACTGCAAAGATGGGAGCTGTAACTTATTGAAATGAATTAGCACAACTCTGATCCTTAGCAACTGCTGAATCCAGCAACCAGCTACGCTTCCAGTTGTGTGCTCTGTGCTGATTTGAGCAGACCTTGGTGGAAAGGCCCCTGGTTATCACACAGCAGGGACCATTCTCTGGCAATGGAATGGCTTGGAAGGCTGCTCTCCCAGTGGTGATCTGCTGTGGGCTGTGTATGTGACCTAATGCAAACCACAGCTCTCTCAGCTCCTTGGCGTGAGCATCCTTCCCTCTGCCTTCAAGGTTTTTATTACACTGGGATTGCCTCTTTCCGCAGCTGCATGCCCAGAGCTGGCTCTATCTCATACAGGCTGGTTTAAATACTCCAGTAGCCACTTTCCTGCAGCAGAAGGGACTTAAGTTTGGGCTGCAGATTGTGCATAAGACAGATAAACACTTAGACAACAAGAAGCTGTGGCAGGAGGCACCTCAGTGCATTGTGGTCAATACCTCAGCTACCTCTCTTTAATCCTGAATCCGGGGTCTAAATCTTCATTTTCAGTCCTAAGTCGACTTGAGTAGCTGCAGCATGGACCCCTCCACATGTATGCACAGGGCTTAAATCACACCATGCTCTTGCTGCCTGGGCAGGGACAGCATCTTACCTTCTGTCCATTGCGAGCTTTTCCAGGCGACAGCCCAGGATCACCTTTCTGACCCTGAAATGATAAGCTTACATTAATGACATAATCCAAGCACCCAGCCCGTGGATGTGTTTCTGCTCCTCCAAGCCTCCAAATTAGAGAAACATTTGGTTTTATCTCTTTCTCTGACATCCCAAATGTATTAAGTCCTTGGGTATAGCTGCTTTGCTCGAGGTGGTTTTGGTGAGTTACTGCTGCTGCTAAAGCATTGAGTTTTAAATAGTATTTGACAGTATTAAATTGACTAAAGAAAGGATAGCTGGAAGAAGGCAGTGTCAGGGCTTTTGATGTTCATTAGAGTAGACAGCTGTGATTTCTTCCTTGTCTACAACTACCGTCACAAAAATAATTACCAAGCCTATTACTGTGGCTCAACCACCCTTCTTAACAACTTGTGAGATGCTGTTGCTTTTTTAACTGTGGGGAACAGATGAAACTGCAGAGAAAGTTACCCTAATTAGACTCTGTGAAGAGCCAGAGCAATTGCGAGGCTTCCAGGCTGGCAGAAGCAAGAGGCACACTTTGTCCTAAGTGGCAGTATTCTTGATTTTCCTTTTTAACAACCGTGATGAGAATAATCGCAGTTTAAGGCTGTGATCTCCCCTTGAGCAGAGGCTGGAATTGAACATCTATTCCTTTGAAAATCCCAGTTCAGACTCTTAAAAGGAGAGGTAACGCGTGCACCTAGTGGGGTGAGAGATTGAAGTAGGCAAAAACTAGAAGAGATTTGAAGTCTGCCAGGTTCTTTTGGCAGGGGAGAGGAAAGGTTTGCCACACTAAGCAGCTTAGGTCTGTCTAACATCAGTTCTGGCACAGCCAGGACACAGGTATCAGCCACTGGCTATTTAACACCCCTGGGACCATAAAGAAGTTGTAACCCCTCTGTGTCACATCACCAGCACGGGATTCAAAACTAACTGCCCAGCACAGGATAATTGTGAGGGTTAATGAATGGCTGTCAAGTGAAGTGACTGGAGGGAAGGTGAGACCCTACAAAGGAATAATAGTATTTATTAGCTGGCATTTCTCATTAACAGCACAAAGGTCTAGTTTCAGCCAGCTGAGCCTCACTGAGACTACATTCAACATGCTGTTCTCACCTTGCCCGGGGTGTAAATCTCCCTTTCTCCTCCGCCACCATCCACCACAAGCTGCAAGGCTCACAGGCAGCGAGACTACTTGGCTATGGACTGTAGGGAGCAGTGCTGATTCAAGGCAGATGCATCTGCACAAGTTCTGAATGAAGGCTGCCTGGTTTCCAGACACTACATGAAGTCATGCAGATAATCCTGCTTTGCGTGCAGCTGTTATCAGGGCAATGCTCTCTGAGCTTCGGAGGTGTCAGTGGGTGCTACAACCGCTTGGAACCGATTAGAACAGCTCCCAGGATCACAGGGTATCCATTTACTGCAGCAGATAGACAGCCACCACTCTCCCTAAACCCTGCCATGTGCTCAGTGCAATGACATTGAGCCATGTAAAGGAATACAAGCCTCTTACGTTGTACCATGGGAGCTGCAGATCACATTAACTCAAAGACTGTGCTTTACATCATGGTTTTGTGTTCGACACTGCTGAGACCATCACACAGAACTATAGCCACAAGCAGGACCACACATCCCTAAGATTCATCAGCAAGATGGCATCAGGGCCAGAGCGAATGGATGCCTGCATGTGAGGGCTGGAATTGTGAATTAATTGCCCAACTCCTCTTGTGCAGCAACCACAACATGGGAATTAGACCAAGCCTTGTCCATCACTAAGCCACAGCACCTTGCCCACAAGCTTCTCGCTTTCCCATCCCAACTGACTGAGCAAACTACTTCTTGTAAAGGAAGAAATTGTGTTCTGGTTTTTCCCTATGTGGGAGAAGTCTGGAGCTGCACCATTTAAGCACCTCAGCTTTGCAATCCCACTAATAGTATTTTAAACAGCAGTGAGCCAAACTGATGAGCTGTCTTGGAGCCAAACCATTCACTAAAAGGAAAAAATCAGATTTTCCTAGTGCTATAACAAGAGAGGTTCATCCAGAGCAGCTAACTAAGCAAACCATATTCATGTCTGATGCCAAAAGCCTCCAGATGAGAGATGCAAACCCATCTCTTGTAATGGCTTTTAAAAACACACCCTGTCTGACAGCTAACCCTCCTCCCAATCCCAAACTCTATTAGGGCATCCTCAGTGCTGCACTTACTTGTTAGCAACACCCCTCCTGCCCCCCTTCCAGCAGCTTACAGGTCACACAGCCAGCCACAACCCTAGCCCACATATGTCTACAGCCATTTAAGAGGTTATCTGCTATAATCAGTCTTTGCTAACTAGATGTAATTGCACTTCTGCAGCTGCCAAGGACAACACAGAGAATGCAAATAGTGGCAAGAAGCCCCTTTAAGCAATTGCACATTGTAAGTGGATGTGAAAAGCACCATGGGCTAAACTCTCAGGTGACACAAGTGGGTGCAATGCCACTGAAGTCAGTGCAACTCGGAGCTCCAGCTCCAAGCAGGAATTCGACTCATCAGCTGCAATCTGTGCAAGAGATCAATAATAAGGTGGACCCTGCAAAAGATGGATTCAGAAACACAGCAGCCCAATAACACAGCACTAGTGATCACCAGCACAACTGGACAAGAGATGTGCACAAACACATCTCTGCCATGCCACATCACATCCCTTGTACTGCCTGACCTTATAAGTGCTCTGTTAATTCAGCTGATAAAAACAATGCTTCTGGGTTACTTCCTAAGTGACAATGCCTTGGTGTTAGTCATTGTTTCCAAGCTCTATCTATCTGGGAAACTTCAGTTTCCTTTCTTGGGTTGCTTGTTTTTTTCCGTGGTATTATCTATCTAAGGGAGATCCAGCCCAAAAACCACTTGAAGGCTCTCAGCAAGAGAAGTCCTAGTTGAGGCTGCTAGGTTCTGTTGCCCAGGTTTGGCTTTCAAAGTCCATAACGTCAGACATGGGCTGGGTCTGTTAAGAAGGTATCAGGTCCCAGGTCCACAAGCCTGGTGAAGGGTTGAGGCATTTAAAATGTAAGAGAGTGGAATAAAACCTTTTTTGTGCAAAGTCTGTATTTTGGGGCTGGTGTCAGAGAAATGGAGGGAAGGAGGGAAGCCAAACCTCTTGGATCTGATACACACCTTCCAAAACACGCTTCTTATGCAAAGATCTTGCAACCGTGGCTTACCAAGCTCTTCCTTCCAGAGGTGAAGTTATATCCAGTCCTGTTCTGAGCTGCAGCTCTCATCTCCCATTGCAGACTTCATACTCCTTTTGACAAAGCACCACATAGAACACCCTGATCCTGCAAATGGTGTCTGGCCAAACTACAATACATCACACAGACCAATAACACCAGGTCTCTGCTGCAGACTGTTACATCCATCCATCCTCTGAGGGCTTCCCACTGCCAGAGCACGCATCGAGATGGAGGGAAAATGCTTACAGGAAGTTTTATTTCTAGTAGGAGACTGACTGAAAACAGCTTTACAGCCAAAAGATGATTTCTGACCAGGCATTAGGCTAAAAGTGTTTTAAAAGTAGTCCTATGGCATAGAAACATCATTTGACTCTATAGATTGGACCAGGCTGAATTCGCAGGTCTGGAAGTTAGACAGAAGAACCTTGATTTGAGTTATGGAACTCAACAAGTGTGATCTGGAAGTCATTGCTGGATAATAAATGCAGAACACTAAAATGCAGAGCTTTTACAGCCCCACTTTTCAGGCCGTATGACTACAGTGTAGAATTTAAACCAGCTGCTCTTCACCAGCGTGTCTCCAGTGCCTAATTTTTAATCACGTAGAGGCAGCTTGCCAAGTTTCCAGAATCTTTTTCCCAGAGCATCAATAGTGCTCATAGCATCTCTGCCTACTGATGAGATCATGAAAAGACCGTCTTTTCATGCACAGGACTCTCTCTTGTACCGTTGTGTTTGGCTGAGACAGCTTTCCTTGGTAGTGAAAACCTCTAGTAAGCATCGCCTTTCTAAACTCAGCTGTCCTTTAGTCCCAGATTGGTGTTATTGAGGGGTTTCTGTGTAAACAAGGACATCAAAACAATCCAAACCCGTTTCCCAGGAGCTTCCCAGTCTGTAGGCAACACAGTGCCTCACACACCGGAATAACATGGGAATTAAAGCATCTTTCTGAGCGCAGTTTTGTGACACAGTGGCTTAGCTCCCCTCTGGAGCCACATCTGTGACAAAGTCTTGTGCAAAGGGAGGAGGAAGCCTCAGTGCTTCAGTGAGGAAAGGACCAAAGAGTATCTAGAAGGAAGCAATGGGATCAGTTTGGGAGGACTGATGGAGGTCAGGGATCCCAGAAACCCTGGAGAGGGAAGGAGAGACAAAGGAGTTTCAGGATGAGGAAGGCAGAGGAAGAAGCCGGGTGCTGCCACTCACCCCACTGCTGTCCAGACCCAAAGGTGGAGGAATAGGATGCAAAACCCAGAGGAGAGGAATGAAACAGCAAAGAAACCCAAAGCTGGTGGGGCTCTGGAATGGAAGGATTCCACTGCCCTCATCTCAACATAGAAGTTTGCTCCCTTGCATAGGCATAGCTTAACAAGGCAGTCTTGGACATTAAGGAGAACCAAGAACTGAGGCACGCAGCAGGGTCTCAAAGCACAGGAAAAGGCTTTGGCTGCGCTGCTGGGGCCTGTGTGTGAGCATAGGGGGAAAATGATTTCGGCTCCTTGTTTTGTACAAGTGGGATCAAGAAAAGCCACAGCTCCTCCACTGAAACAGGCAGGCAAAATCACCTTGTGCCAATCAATACTTACTTTCAGGCCGGGGGGTCCAGGTGAGCCGGGGTTTCCGTGAGGACCTGGGGGACCCTAAAAAAGACAGCAGACACAAAACAGAGTCAGGAGGAGTCAACGGGCATCTGCGTTAGTCCTAGGAGCTGCAGAAAGTCGTGAGTGATGTGATGAGACCAGAGCATCCACAGTACATGGCCCAGCCCAGAGACAGAAGGACCCTCACTAGTGCCTCTGGAGTGGTGAAACCTGGCTACCAGCTCCCACCTACCTCCATGGGACGGGACGTGTGTCTGTCACCACAAGATGTGTGGTGACAATGAGATGATTTGGGTGCACCAAATATTCCACAACCATTAACAGAAACTACCTTGTGGTCAAGGGAGTCAGAGCTCTGCAAGGAACCCCAGCAGAAAGAGATGGAGGGAGGCAGAAGGGAGCAAAAGTGTGATGGGGTGTTGCTTTTTTTTGGCCAAAATGGAAGAGAACAGAAGGAATTGCTGCAGGGAAAATGTTCAGCTATTTGGGATGAACTTATTTCCATTCCAAGTCAACCAGGCGTTTGCCTTTAGAGGTTAGAAAGAGAATGGATTGCTGGACTGTAGAACAGAAGTCAGGGGAGCAGAAGTCAGTCCCTTTAAACCATTTAAGCCTGTGTTTTTGTACAGGTCTCACAAGCTAATGACACTGTCAGGGGATCTGCTTCAGGTCACAAACAGCAGTATCTCCTTTCATACCATATTTTAAACCCACCCTGTGTATTTTCCAAAGACTATTTAAGGAGTTATCTGGAATAAGCAGCTAAGGATAGTTTATCCCAGGATTGTACACAGCACGGAAGATCTGTTAACCTTTCAGGCAGAAGTAATAACAATTCCAAGTCCTCTCGAGCACGTTCCTGGGAGATGAAACACCCTGAAGATTCAATTCCAAGGGCTACTGTGCTGCCAACACTGTGTATGGGCTTTACACCACCACGAGGAGCACTTTAATGCACCCTCTAGTTACAAGGAGTTCAGTCTGGGGGATAAAAAGCCACTCTGATACTAAGCTGCAGTATTTCCGATGAGCATTTCAGCATAGATGGGGCCAGGATCTTCAGGGTCTGATTTCCAAGGAAAATCCCTGCATGTGACTGCCATCCGAGTTCAGTGCCCTTGCTCTCTTTTATGAGAACATCAGGGTGTTGATGTCTATTCAGTTTTATTTTGACTGCACTGTAATAGAAAATAATGTCTTTTTTTAATGCAGCTATTGTATCTTGTGGTATAGACAGTTGTTGAATGCTCAGTGCTATTTCCCAGCACATGCTGGTCTGCTGTAAGAGCAATTAAAAGGCCAAGCCTGAACTTTGCAAGCGGCATTCTTTTTTACCCAAATAAATTTTATGTCCCATTCTTAGATTCCTTCAGATTTTCAGCCTGAAACCAAATACATTTATTGGCCCATTCTTCATTTCCATCCACATTTTCAGCCTGACACTCTTGGATACTTTAGCCTGGCTGTGAATTTCCAATGAAACTGAGACAGCTGTAAAGAAAAGGTGTTTGAGTATCAACTTGTCATTTGAAAACCCATAGAGCTGCTGTAGCCACAGAAACTGAGCACCAAGAAGTCTTGAATAAATCCATATTCCCAGCAAACTATGGCATCATCTGCTCACCCCATTGGGTGGGACACTGAAGCACAGATTTAATGTGCTGCTTAAGTTAATGCAATGAGTTTGTGGTAGCAGAAACACTTCAACCCAAGTCTTTGGAGTCCCAAATACGTATGAAGATGAATATTGTGGCAGAAATCAGAACAGTAGAGGCTCTATAAAAGGTGAGTTCCTAAAAAGCTCTTACACGTAAGCAATAATCTGGGAAGCTCTGAACAGGGTTCATAAATCCAGATTGCTGCTGGATTTGAGGAGGGAATTCAGCTGTTTCTCAACTTTGGAGGCAGGCAGTTTGGCTCAAAGCCCATTTCAGTGCAGTTGGTTGAAATCCATGCTCCACCATAGCCTGAAGCAGGCTTAAAACAGTGTCAGACTGGAGGGAACAGCATGGTTTGGTGTGACTCCTAGCTGAGAATGAGAGTTTCCAGGAGGAAACCTGGGACATAGGAAGCTCAGCTGCCAATTCTCCTGGCTAAGAGACCAATCACACCTTCAGCATAATTTGGTGCAGGTTCTTCCAGAGCTAAACCAAAGCACAGCAAGAAAATCATAAAGAGCTTTAACCAAAAGGAGGTAATAGTCTAATCCTAGTATCCAGTGACAAAACATGGTTATGAAATACAGGCTCTTGACCACTGAATTCAATGAGACTCCTAGCATGTAATCCCTGCAAAGGAAGGTCAGAGGTCCATCCTGTTCTTAAAGACCAATGTGGTCTTGCCCTAGTGAGAAGTGGCCACATCCTGCTGATGAAGTGGCAGTGGGAAGAGTCCAGTCTGGCACGCAAGAAATGGCTGTAACCCAGTGTGAGGCTTGTGCTAGATGGTTTAAACTGCTCCCATAACATGGGGAGAAAAGGGTGTAGTCTGGCAGCAGTCCTAAAGAAGGGGAAAAAACCGATCTTGATGTGTTCCAACACGATTAGTCCTGAATCCGTGATTATTACACCCACATTCTTGGCAGAGGAGAAGGATGCGATGTGGTGCAGTTTGATGGGCTGAGTAACAAAAGGTACAGGGCAGCATCCGCCTCGGGAGCTGTTAGCAAGGCAAAATCTGAACAGGCAGGCCTTATGCGTTAATCCATGCACCAAGCTGGAAACTCCAGTAGCAGTCACTGTGCCCCCAAGCTGTCATCCCTTGGTTTATTAAACCCAGTCAATGTTCATTCCTCTTCTATTGCACCCAGAATTACCCATCTCCAACCAGTGCTCCCAGAAACAGCCTTCTCATGGAGAACAACTTGAGAGCTAATGTCTTTGTAGTGCTAGATTTTACCCATGTTATCCTGAATTAAATTCGATTTCCCATTCCTATCTAAAAAGTAGGATTCTCCCAAATATATTTATCATCAATGCATTAGTTTTGTTCCTCTTTTCCACTCACAGGATGGGACAACACCGACCCCACTGAATAACAAAATCCCACAACATGGATTACTATTTGTATCCATGCCTGTTTAGCTACCTACTTTGGGTCCCTTATAACTGCTGAAACAATCCAATCTATCGCAAATGCCAGCTTGCATCTGAGATCTTCCAAGCCTTGCACCAGAAATTCCATGGAAAATTTTACCATGGGACAGCACAGAGACCAGAACAATCCCTGAATGTGTTCTGCAAGTGAGGGGAGGGGGTTCCCATCTCCATGGAATGTCTTCTACGTGAATGATGCTACTTGAGGACCGCACTGTGCCACCCAGTTCATCTCGGTGACGTGCCTGGAGATGGGACCCTGCTCACAGAAGCTCTTTTATGCGTAATGGTTCACAGCCCTCAAGTATTAACAAAAGTGTAACTGTGCACAGCACCCCCCATCCCTCCAGCATTCACAGGGAGGGGGGGGAAAAATCCTCCAAACTCCTGCTAAATGCTGGAAAGCTTCGGTCGGAGCAATGACGACTCATTCAAACCTCACTGTGTCTTGGGGTTTTCTCTGTGTAAAGCAGCTTTTTCTACTCCTGACCTACAGATCCCACCCTGACCTCCGGCTTGCTGAAAAAAACGAGCTAAATATTTGAGGTGAAGCCAAACAAACTGTTTCTTTAAACACTTCTACTCAGAAATCGGAAAGTCTTCCTCGTGGAATGAGGGTACCGGGGAACCTCTGCAGCTGAGAGAAGTTCTTGCTTGTTTTAGGAGGGAAGCCCTGCATTTTGAAGGAAAGGGAGATTTTTTGCAACCACAGACCAAATGTAACAGGGACGTGTTACACCAGGACCCTGCAGCCTTTCAGGCTGCTAAGGTTCACAGGAGGATGGTAAGAGATGCCCGAAACAGCAGGGAACGTATCTGTATTCTATTCACCCATCTGTTTGGGTTTCTCCTGTGTTGTATCAGAGAGGTTAAATATGAGCAATTACAGCATGCCAGGCTTTTTATTCCCAGTTCTGCCTCTGACCTGCTGTGTGGCCACTTTTCTTATACCAGAGTTTTCTCACCTATTACAGATGGAGATCAACTTCCAACGGGGCCTGGCTTCCTAAATTAAAGTGTTTTGAAAAGCCTGACTTTCCCATTATTGCTGTCCTGGCATTGAAGACAACCACCAGATTCCTGTCTGTCATGTGTCAGCTTGCTGTCTCCTCCATGTAGAAGGGGAACAGATAGCTAGGATTGCCATAGAGCTCATCTGGAAGGCAGATTTCAAGACCAAGTGTGATGGTTCACAGCACTTGTGCAGACTAGTTTGCTGGTCTAACTACACTGGAATGAGTCACAGGTTGGGATCAATATGGATGCGCTGGCAAAAGCCCCTCATGCAGACAGCATGGGGATGAAGCTAACTGAGTCCTGGGTGAGGCAGGGATAAGCCATAATGGTGCAGAAGTTATTGCTCCATCGGGAGCCCTTTGCTGACAGTTCCTTGTCGAGCTTGTTAGCACAGCTCTGCGAGCAAAACCCAGCCTCTGTCACTGCCTCCCCATTCAACCTTTGCAATGTAAAGGTCATAGAACCATAGAATAGTGAGGGTTGAAGTACAAAACATCCTTTACATGGAACTGCTGCGCTCGTACCCACGTGCCACCACTCACACACAAAGCCATGTGAAAGCTGTCCCACTGCATGCCACATAAAGCTGGGGAAACCCTTCATTGCTGAAACTGCCCTTGCCTACAAGATGCATCTCGGATCTTACACAGACTCCTGCCAAGGTACATTTACTTGAGGAGAAGTGGTGTGGGCAGATCTCTTGCTTATCACTCTGATTCTTTAATACAGACATAAGAGCTGAAAGCAATCCTAGCTGGATACGGAGAGGAAACCTGCTGTAAAGCATATGGCCAATACAGCAATATCTATACAGGTTTGCAGAGCTCCTGAGAAACTCATTAACCATCATTTCTCATCATCAGAATAGCAACTTATTTACCCCTTCTCCTTGGAATCCCTTAGGCAATAAGAAGAAACACCCAGTTTTCATTTGTTATGTACCTTTGCCTTCCTAGTTGCAGAGAGCAGAGCATTGGTATAGTCTGAACCCAACTCCATGGATCCATGACACTGAGTGTAAAATTAACTCAATGCTTCTAAACAGGGGACTAGCTTTTCAAAATCAAGAAATGGTCATTTTCAAGAAGACTGCACTATCCACTGCCTTGGAATGCACTCGAATGGGAGATGTGTCCTGGACACAACCTCCTTCATGCTGCTACAAAGACTGGTGCTTGTTACTGCAAACCAGGAGGCATAGCTTACGTGGATGAGCAGCACTCAGACTGCACAGGCAAGTCTAGTTGATCTTCTGGTTTATCTATTAATCTGCTGGAAGCACAGAGAAAGAACCATGGGATGAGCCAGCTTGGCTTACCAACTGCCACTGACCACAGCCTCAAAGCAGAAGCTCATCAGGGCTTTCATTTTACCCTGACCAGCACGAGGGGAGAAAGGGAGACAAACCAGAGAGAGTACAGAATTTAAAGGAGTGGAAATATTGCACTACATCAGCAACAGAGCAACTTTATGGGCTTCACAGCTACAGAAGGTCAGGAGTCAGAGGCTGCTACTAGGTTTTCACACGAGCCAACTAATTATATAAGCATTAGTAATGTAGAAATTGTGCAAGCTACAAGAGCAGTTGCACCTCATGCTTTAGCTCATTCACTGCACTGGTGACTAGAAACAATCCATCCTTTCCCCTGGCATCCAGCACTGCAAAGTTGCCTGTAATATCCACCTCCCCTAAGGAGCTCTGCTCTTGGGCTTGGAGCCTCATGGGACACCTCATGGGCTGTGTAAGAGCTCTGCAACTGGTCTGCCTGAGGATCAGGTAGGACAGAGGTAGAACATAACCCCTGCAGCATTGCACATCTATTTTCAAGCGCCTCATGCACAATGAGAGCAAAAGATGCAAGAATTCCCCTAAGCCTGTCTTAGTTTCTGGCAGCTTTTCCCTGCAATGAGGCACTGAAAGCCCAAAGAGCCACAGGAAGGAGAAATACTAGAAGAAACACGCTGCAAAGTCAAAACAATGGATGCAGGGAGCAGTTGTCTCCAGTGCTCCAGGCCAGACATTCACAGATTGACCCTTCTGCCCCTTCCCAAAGTTAGCACAGCCTCTTCGCAGAGGTCCAAGCCAAGCCAGGCTCAGCTGTGCTGAGCGCTTCCTAACTGGGAACTCTCTCCTAGAATGATTCTCAGCACCTCTGGCAGGGGCTGAGCTCCAAAATGCTCTGTTGATTGTTGTCTTTTACAGGATCATCTTAAATATAAGACAGAGCGTGCTACAGATGGGGAATAACATAGAAAGTCAGAACAAGGCAAGTTTTGGTAGTGGAATTTGGATGTAGAGGTGCAATTCGGTCATTCACAAGGGGGATGCAGCTGGGGTCTCCTGACACAGAGAGTAGTCTGCACACCACAGGACTGCAAGAACACCAAACACCTCTCATGAGTGAGCATGAACAACATTCAGCTTAATGGGGACTTGCTGAGAACTGGCCAATTTGCTGATGCAATTGCAGCTCGGAAGACATCAGAGCTGCATGACCAGTTATCCTGGTGTTTCACTGTAGGACTTATCTAATCACAGAATGGTTCAGGGACCTTAAAGCTCATCCAGTTCCAACCCCTGCCACGGGTAGGGCCACCTTTCACTAGAGCAGGGTGCTCCAAGCCCCGACCAGCCTGGCCTTGAACACTGCCATTATCCTGTGTATAAAACACATGAGCTTGCTGCTTGCCTTACACTCAGGGCCCAAATCAGTGCTTGGGTCTATTGATATCCATACCCAGGCTGCAGGGGCTCCTGCAGAGCTTTCACTGTTGTAGACAGAAGGTGCATTTATCTTTACTGGTTACTGCAAGATCTCACAGGACTGTGACAAGTGCCCTCAGGGAATGCACAGCCTCCAGCTTTTAGCCTCTCGGTTGTTCTTTAAAGACATTACATGGGGTTGAGTTTTAGCCAAGTATGTGTGAGGAAATCTCCTGCTGCTGCCAGGCCAGGATGCTGCCTGGATCATGGATCCAAATATTCCCTTCTTCCAGCCCCAGACACTTGCATCTTTTGATTCCCGACCCACATCAGTTCAGTGCTCAGGAAATGGACTCCATGACCATACCTTGTGGGACAGCACCATGCTAACATGAAAATGATGCCGACAGTTAACAGCATCCACGTCAGGCATGTTGCCCAGCTTTGGGAGACTACTTTTGCAGCTAGGTCAATGCAGAAAGCTTTGCTCACAGCTAGTTACAGCACTCAGCACGAGATGTGGCCTCAGCATAACACTTAATGCTCAAAGGTCTGCCTCAGAAGTTAATGTGGGGAGGAAGAAATAGAGGAATTTACAATGGATCTTTTTGAATAGCTAAGACATTTTGCTCTAGGCCTTGAAAAGGAGCAGGTCTTAGTGTGAGGAACACAAAAGCTCATCCCTGTGTGCTGAGTCCTTGGTCCTAGACCATGGTCCCACTAGTGAAGGCGCAGTGATGGAAGGACCTCAAAGCAAACACTGTGGGAAGCTGGGAAGAGTGAAGAACAGAACAAAAAGCAGCCAAAGCTCATGTTCAGCACTGGGTTTGCAAGAAGGAATGGATACTGGAAACAAAATGAGACAGACAGAGCTCATTCTTCTGACAGCCATTTGGAAACATTCATCCCCAGCCTTTCCAATGCCAAAACTTAGCTCAGAGAGGCAGCAAATCACCAGTGTGGCCTCCTGAAAACCTTGAACAGGGCATGAGGGAAAGGAGGAAGGCCAGACCTCAACAGCAGGGCTTGAAGCAATCATTACTCAGCCACAGGAACATACAACAGCCCTTGGAGCAGTAGGACACACAGGTTCAAGTGCAAATGGATAGGAATTTAATGTTACTTACTCGAGAACCTCTCTTGCCAGGTGGTCCTGGTAAGCCCGGCAGACCTGGTGGGCCCTGGAAGAATAAAAATAGGAATTAATGATGGTTCTATAGCACGGTGATGCTCCTATTTCCCTTCAAATTACACCATTGCTATAAAGGGATAAAACACCACACACAGTAACATCTGCAGAAGCATGTATTTCCATAGATTAGGGACAGAGCCTTCACATCTTTCTGCTGTGGATGACATTCCCATGATCACAGCTGTGTTTCCACCTTCCTGAACCCATGCTGTAACACAGGGGTAACACAACTTGTCTCTCACCTTTGGAGTTTCCTGCTATGTGCTAGCACGCAAGTAACGTGTTAGCACCTTGGCAAGGGAAGAATATTGAGTGTTGCAATATACATTGGCACTCTTGGTACTGTAGGCTTCTGCATGAATTACAACTTCATTGCATCCCATCACTTTGTATTTTGAAGTGGCATGTGATAAATGTCATCGAATTGGTGTCAGCGTTGGATATTCCTAAATGTGTAATACAGGAGAGGTCAACTTGTACATGTCAGAGTAGTGGGGGGTCTTGGCAGAGGGTGAGAAGAAAGTGGAGATATCAGGCACCCAGCTGTGCACTGATGTGAAACAGGTTAGGAAAAAATACTCAGTAATGTATTGAGTTTGAATTTGTTCATTTATTTATTCATTTTTTTCAATGGACTGGAGAATTCAGCTTTCTGGAAAGCCATTTGCAACCCCTAATAACTCCTCAAAGCTTGTTTTCCCCCAAGCCAAACATGCCTAACAAGAATAACTGTTAATTAAGTGTCTCCCAGAGGATTTATATCCAAGTAGCTTGTTATAAAAGATGAGCTTTCATTGCATCCAGGGGAGAAACAGATCCAGAGCAGCAGGCTGAAGGACGTTTGGAAGGCAGCCTGAGCTCTCCAACTGTGTGGCAGGCAGAAGATGGGTGCATTGCACTGAGTGGGTACCACGCTCTGGTTCCACTCCCTTCCCACTGGGATCACCACTGTAGGATCCCACATGTGCCGTCACCCTAAGCAGAGCCTCCTGCAGAAGGACTGCCAGGCAGAGCTGCTCAGGCTCTGCATCATGTTACTGGCCCTGAGGAGGAATGGGAAGCTCTTGATCTCTAACACAGTTTTCAGGAGTCATCAAGTGTGTGATTTAGTAACAAAACCCTTGGAGATCCCTACCCTAAATCTCGTGCCCAGGATAAGACTCTGAACAGAGAAAACTCGCCTGAACCATAGAGCTAACTGATAAATACACTCTAATACTACCAACCCTCCCATTACCATATTAGCCCATATGATTCAAGGATTCTCATAAGCAGCAAATTCATTAGTATAAAAGCAGTCTTCTAAACAAAGTCATGCAGACAGATTTGGTACCGTAGAAAGAAGGGGAGGAATAAACAAAGCCCCAGGTATGTCTGTCTGCAATACTGATTTGCCAGGACATCACATGAATCACAACATGTGTTTTCTGTAGCTAGCTCTATCTGTAGTAAAGGTGACAAGTAAAAAATTGTCTTACAGCATAAGAGGGTACACAGCACAGAACAGCTGATGCCCCACACTGAGACAACACATGGATGGGCTTTAACACCGCATCACACTCTCCTACTACCCAGCACTGTAGCCTGTGCTGAGATATAGCCTGGGAGACTTCATCTGACCCCTCTTCAAGGTGTTCATTGCTGCTAACATGGTATTACTGGTCTTTGTAGTAACAACCCCTATTGGTACAGCTGACCCTCACTTCAGCAATATACCCAACACGCAACCTGCCATTGTGCCAGCTCAGGGCCCCGTGCATAATGCAATTATACAGCTGTGCAAATAGACACATGGTTATGGGAGGTTTTAAGCCTTGTGTATAACTGTGCTCCAGAATCCAAGCTTTATTAATAAAATCCCCTTAGTTCCTTAATTCCCCTTAGTTAGGAAGATAACTATCAAAACATGAATCCAATGCAACTGATGCAGCAACAGCTAACAGGGTTTGGCAAAGATGAATTCAAGTGCTTAATGTCTTCTCTATAAAGACCCATTCCCATGTACCCCTAAATGAAGAAGTGAAAGAGAAGATACCACTGCCTGTGCTGCATTCCCTGTGTACCAGAGTTAAGGTGACCTTTCTCACCTTCCTGCTAACAGCAGCTGCAATTGCACTTGGCCACTTGAGTAAAATACCTCTCAAAAAATGGGGACTGCTCACAATAAGCTGGAGCTAGCCAAAATGAGGAGAGAGTTAATGCCTGCACTGGAGTGGGAACGTGGAGCTAAGGGAAAGCCATGTGGCTGGAGCAGCACAGAAAGAGCAGCACGTAATTCAGGAGTCCCCTATCACTTTGCTTTGGTTTAGTTTGTCTTTTGGCCTTTTCTTATTCTTCTCCTAAAGGGCAAAAGGAATAAGGTGACTGCAGGATGAGTGGCTAAAGGGTGCCAGGCACGACGGCAACTGCATAAGGCAAGAATGTGACATACATAAACCAGAAGCAAGCCAAGGTGAAAGAGAGCTGGGGTAGCTGAATGAACATTGATAGCTGAGAAACACAACTGCAAGACCACCTTCTGTCTTTAAGGTCCCTCTCCATTCTCACACAGTTCCTGGGTAGCTGGATCGGACGTGTACTGTGCCTTCCCAGTGACTCATTTCTCCTGCCCCTTACACATGCCTCTATCATCCAACTCAAGCTCTCGAGCAGGAGGCCCATGTCAAACAACTGGCTCTGCCTGGGGAGAGCAATACTGAAACACACAGGGAGAAAAATGCACATCGGGAGAGGCAGCCAGAGAAGAATGAGACTGGATCAGGGCCCAGCTACTTACAGATGATGGATGAGGTCCCACTTCCGTCGTAAGGCTCCGAGACATGGAGAGGAAGGGATGTCTATCAGCAAAGCACCATGCAGTGAGCTGCCAGGAGTCTGCCTGGAGGTAATGCCTGTGCAGTCCCTATGCTCACCACAGGCATCTTCGCTTTCGCCCTTGGTGCAGGGAAGAGTTAAACTGCCCCACCAGAGCCTGTGTGGACCTTTCCATCGTGCCCTTTAATAGCATCCTTAGCAAATTCCATAGGGAGCAGGGGGAAGCGCTCCGCAAGGCAGGAAGGTTTCCTTTTCCTGGCACTTCTCTGCTCCTGCCCTCCCATTGCATGAACACCTCACAAGATCAGCAGAGCTGACAGCCTCCTGCAGTGAGCTACTGCTCCTAGCACTTTGCTTCTTGCCTCTCTGGCTTCTTGCCTGCTCTGCTCTGCAAACTGATGGCAGAGAACACACACCCCCTGTTATCACACAAAGCAAAATCAGAGATCAAGGAGAAACAGGGCAGAAGCAGATACTCGCACTCTCTTCTCCAGCCAAACAGCTGAATTGTTAACCAGCCTGAACAGCTCTGCGAAGCAGCTAATAGCAGCCACATAAAAGTTTAACCCTTCTCAGTTTCCCACGGTAGCATTAGGAATGATGACTGATCCCACCAAATGATTATAGGATTTATTCTAAGCTGCTGCTGGGAAACTTCCTGGCGTAAAAGGGACCTCTCTTTTTCCTTCACTTTTGGAGCTTCAAATTGCAAATGGAAAATTAAGCTGAGTTGTCTGAAAGGGAAATGCATTGGGCCCTGAGGACAGGAGAAATCTTGCTGTTTCCTCTTGCTGCTGAGATCAGCCAGCTCATATCTCTGCCTCTCCCCTCCTCACACTTCCCTCTGCCTGCAGCGCTGCCCCTGGGAGCTTGTGCCTTTAGATCTCACAACCTGAGCAAGGCTGAACCTGCTGGGAGAGGGCTTGGAGGGAAGCATAATCACTGCAGGAACTGGTGCTGTTGATGTGGGAAATGACTCGCTTCCTTCTGAATGCCTACTGAATCAACTTGCTCAGATAGCAGAGTATTCCCATTATCATTCCCCTAGGAGCAAATTACCCAGGACACAATTCATCTCATATTCTAGTGCACACCGATGGACTGACCCATCTATACTCGGGGTCTCTCTGATGTATTTCTGCCTCCCATGTTGTGTACCCCATTAATAGTACAGCTCTCCTGTATCCCATGCGAGGCTGTGTTGCAGGGGTGGGCATCCTGCACTGTGCAAAACACTGCAAGGACTGAAGGGAGAACATTCTTTCTCAGATGCTAATGCATGTGGTAAAAGCCAACTTAAAAGGGAGTTCAGAAAACACATCAAAAGCTTCTCCCCATGTTGGCATTGAGTTCTGAGCAGTGACGTTAGCCCTGCAGATAAGAGAACCTGTCTTGTTTTCTTCCCAGAGGAAGATGAGGCACATTTCATATGCAAGGCCATTGCCACAGTACTGTTTAGCCTTGTACATCCAGAAAGCACCAGCACGGAGGGACTGAGGAGCTACAACACTAGAATGAAACCCCCCTGCTCAGGAGAAGGGAAGGGGAAGAGAAGATCTCATCTTCAAAAGATACACCAACCCTTCCTCACCTTTCCATCCTGCACAGAGAGGGAGACAGGACCTAAACTAAAACCCAGCTTGAAATATGGCCTGAAGCAAATCTGCAGGGTTTTATGGAGGAAAAAAATCCAGCATTTTGGTTATTTCTTCTCCAAGGCAGGCTTATCATGTTAAATTTGGACACATCTGGGTTTCAACCAGTGTAGAAAGAAAAACCTCTCATAAGTCTGGCAGGAGCAGAGGTGTTGGTGGGAAGCCAGTCTTGTAATACGAGTTCTGCAATAGACACAGATGTTTATTCTGGGTCTGTACAACACCTATCAGAGACAAACCCTTGTCCACAGCTTGATTCTGAGCAAAGCAGCAGCACAATACATATCGCAATGTCAGTATTCCAGCTTGATGAGCACAGCTTTTCTATAGAGACATTGCAGAAACAATCTCTGCGGGAGGCACTTCAGACTTGAGCAATGTCAGACCTTGGAAACAAGTCTGAAGGGGTGTGAAAAAATAAAACAGAGGGATTTCACACTCTATCAGTTGTAAGAATACCTGCATATTTCCACAAGGCATCCTTACACCCTTCGCAGCACATTTATCTCAATCACCCTTTCAACTACTGCTCTTTAAAATCAACTTTGTTTTACACAAATAGAGCTCTCAGATTCTTAGTCTTTCGCCTGCAAGATGATTTCCCTTTGGGGATAGTTCTGGTTAAATTAGCAAAAAGCCACTGATCCAACTGTGTGAGCGAGGCTGAAACTTTTCCCATGAATTATACAAAGCATGTGATTCTCTCTTTTTTTTATTAATATGACTCATTCATTAAGAGACATTCAAACACATTGTGTGTTCCTCCATTTATCACAGACTATCAGCTTGAGCAGCCTTTTCTGCTACAAGGAGGACTGGAAATAAGCACTTCATATTTTATCAGTGTTCCCAATCACCTCTTTCTCTCCCCTATTGGCTGATTGATTTGGCAGGGATTGCTTCTCTAGCAAAGGAGCCTCCAAGGGCTCCAAGACAAACTGCTCATGCAGAAGATGAAGCAGTCTAGACTGGGGATGCTCTTAGAAACACATCTGCTGGTGGAAGAAGGCTGCCTGCAGGATACCACCACATCTCAAGATGGGATTGAACCTAGGGCTCCTGACTATGCACCACAGTATGCAGAGAGCTGGAGGCTGCGCATCCTTCCACCCAGGCTATTTTTCCAACTCAGATACATGTTCCTTCCATCCCCACTCCTCTTGTGTTACTCAGTGCTTCCACTGCCTCTTAGTGGACTCAGCCCACTCAGTGACAGAGGTTTTCTTCCTCTAAAAACAACCCTCAGACACTTCTCATAGTCAATGTATTTGGGTTCTTTCATTTATAAGGGACAAAAAGATGTGGAATTACAGCTTCACTATACAGGAGGAGAAAGGTCCAACTTGGGGTGCCCTGTGGAACACTCACCTGCACCGGGGCAAGGGGTTTGCTGCAGCTCTACCGTATGACACAGCACATGGACATCCCACAGGCAGTGCTGATGGTCAAGGATGACTGTCCCCCTAAATCTCCCCATTAAACCTGCTGCTGGTATAGACAAGCAAATGCTACCCCATCCACCAGAGGATTCAAGTACCCACCACATCAAAGCCTTGAGTGCTTGATATGTTGGCGACAAAATACTTGTGTCTCTTTCGCTTTTATGGGTGTCCAAATTGAGCCATGTCCTTGGGGTCACATCACTCTGCAAGCTAACTGAAGGGGCCTGTGCTTGCATAGGGGATCTTAAGCAAGGCTCTGCGGAGGTGCTGCGGGCAGCCGTGGGGATGATCCAGAGGGAGCTTTGCCAGCTGCTGAGTCAGTGCTGCCTTCCTGACTGAGCACGATGTTTGGGTGGTTTGTGCTATTCCCCCCCTTCTCCAGAAGAAATGCAGAGCCGAGATCCCAAATGCTTGTGGTTATTAATGGTTCCCAAGAAATTCTTCTTTTTTAAGAACATCCCTTCCCCTCCTCCTGCAAACCCAACATTCCTGAAGAATTAATGCACCGACACTAGTTGCATGTGGGATGCAGTGGCTCCGTTTCCTGTTGCGCAGCACTGTGGTGGTCGCGCAGGATTAATCCACGGAGGGTTCTGCCTTTTATTGCTAGGTGAACAGATCCTTTTAGTGCTTGCAGACACCTCAATTATGGGGATGGGGCCCTGCTGCACAGCTAAAATTATACCACGGTTATTTTGGTGGCATTCACAAAGCCAGAATTGCAGTGACCACACTGAATCATCACTGCCTTGCACTGCGACTCTCATTCACATCCTGATTTTGGGATGAGCAGGATGAAAGATGGCCCCTTCTCTTTAAGTGGAAGGGGGACAAGCAGGATGCTGCTGGCTGGCAGCCTGCCTCTGCCCATAAATCATAGAATCATATATAGAATCATATTGAATCACATAGAATGGTTTGGGTTGGAAAGGACCTTAAGATCATCCAGCTCCCTGCCATGGGCAGGGACACCTCACACTAAACCATGTCACCCAAGGCTCGGTCCAATCTGGCCTTGAACACCGCCAGGGATGGAGCATTCACAACCTCCCTGGGCAACCCATTCCAGTGCCTCACCACCCTCCCAGTAAAGAACTTCCTATATCTGATCATTGCCAAGGTGGTCCCAATCCTTGCTGAGCAGGTAGAAGGCCATTTCACACACACACTTCTCTGTCCAGAGTGACATTTCTCTTTCAGACACCTTGTACCAGACAACATAAATGGGAAGACTATTTAATCATCTTATCCCTCCATCCATGCGCCAGACTCCATCAATGACATTCCCAGCCCCATCCAGGGAAAGCGCTGGGCAGTGATATCACACAGCACAGCAGGAAGGGCTGCACTGACCTCATCAGAAGCGCCTGCCCAACAGCACGAGGCGGGCGCCAGGTAATTACTCAAGCACAGAACATTTATCAGCACTCGCTCTGAAACATGCTCATCTGGCTATGGAAGTGCTCTATTAGCTTCCCAACATGTCATCCCCATTCCAGCCTTTTCTCCTCTTTCCCTTCCCACGTCAGAGACATCCAATGCAGTGTGGTACAAAGATCTCAAAGTGAGTCACAGGAGCTATTGAGCACCGCACGCAGCCAAGCCATAACCTTTCCCTCCCAAAGTGCCGACTGTGTTTCCAGCAGTCAAAGAGGAAAAGGCCAGACAGAGCCTCAAAATGTTCTCCTTTCCCTCAATTCAGGACTCCAGTTGTTCTCAGACGGGATGGAAAAAATCCTGCCGTCTCTTCCCTCAGCCCTCCACAGCCTGAATCTGTTTCTGTGCTGTGATTCACAAGCTGAGAGGGATTTTCCACTCCAGTTCGGTAATAAGCTCTTTACATTGCAGGGAGAAGTGGGGGCTTGAAGCTCCATCACCCTCATGACACTTGCAGGGGGATAAGGTGGGAAAGGTCAGGATTCCACTGAGCTCAGAGCAGTCCATGACATTTAGCCTGTACAGGTAAGCAGCGGTTTAGGAGGAGCTCAGGACAGCTTCATTTCTCCCCTTGGAAACATGCCTGAAGTGACTCTTCATGAAACACAGAAGGAAAAACCACTGAGACTCATTCTGTCTACTCAGGGATTTAGCAAAACTCCAAGCACAAAGCCTCTGCATCAGGGATATGTGCCTGTAAAGTCAGGCAGGAGTGCAGCGCTGCATCCCCCTACCCCGGGCAGCATCTGCACCTCTCAAAGTGGGAACCTCAGAACAAAACACACCTGATGGTGACTCCCCATCCAAATGACAAGGAGAGAAACTACTACATTGCTCTGAAACTGGACGGGCAGGAAATGAAGACCTTGAAGGTAAGCACCCATCAGGGCCTTAGCGATACAACCGTTATCACTTTAGGTGTCACTTGCAAGACATCAGCCCATCTGCAGGCTCAAGTGCTGTTGATTGTGTTCCTTCAGCCAGCTTCAATATTTCCATTGTAAACCCTTCTCTCCCTGTTTTAAGAAGTCAGCTGTAATAATTTGCTCTAGGCTGGAACTTGGCAACCCAAGACTGTCTGGGAGAAACTCTTGTACATGTACAGCCCCTCATACACACAATATAGCAAAAGGCTGGGGCTGGAACATCAAATCCTCCTAAAAGCTGGCCAGTTTAAAGATCCTGTTTGCATTCTTGCACTTAAAGGAAAGGCAGCTAGCAGATAATTAGTGTGGCCTGACTGCTTTTAGCATTACAAAATGTGTGTATACTTTTAGGATGGCCAAGATACACACCCTGAGAGTGGTTATTGTGTGGAATGCAGTAGTTAAAGCTATAAAGGAAGCTCTTTGCACGTTTTAAATGCAGGCTCTGAGGAATAATAATTAGAAATTAATTTACACCAGAAAAATAGAGGAGAGTTTGTTTAAAAAACCATAAATCCTGGAGCCATCTCTGCACTCGCATTTACGGGAATGGGGCACTTTTGGAAATGGGAATTTTGGGTACGTAAGAAATTAATAACCAGTGTTAAATAATAGATAATCTGTGGCATGTTTCTGAGGCACTTGGGTTTTCTTTGGAAGGTGACCAGCAGTTCTGCCCTCTTGGCCCTGAGAGAAACCAGGGGTGAGGAACAGAGACCCAGCTTAAGCACCAAATTTTAAGCAGCAACTCTTAGGAAGGAAGGTGGTAATTTGTATTTTCCCCTTTCTTAAATCTAATATGAAGCAGTACCTCTAAGCACAAACTTAAGGAGCATCCACCATCACAGAGCACTCAAGTTTACAGCAACACATGTGCTAAAATGGTGATAACCACGAACATAACAGTGTTATTTTGGGGTGTCACACACAGCTAAAAGCTTATAGAAACCCTTGTAGGTTACGGTGTGACAGCCATTCAGCTGAGCTGTGACTGGGAATAGTCAGCATCAAGAGCTTGAACTTACCTGAGGTCCTCTCTCTCCTTTCACTCCTGGATATCCCAGTAAGAATGGAAACGGAGTGGGTCCGAGGAGGTCAAAGATCTGATAGACATCAGTGGCAGCAGGGGTTGTGAGGTTGAGGGCCTGTGCCCTGGCTCTGGAGATGGGACGGGCAGACCCCAGGGGTGGTTTGGTGTACACCAGAGGGATGTTACTAGGATCCACTTTCCTGGTGGGGGACGGCACGTGCTTCTTTGGAACAGGCCCACTGCTTGGGTTCTGTCTTAGGGTGACAAAATGGACGTTGCTGGTTGTGTTATCAGTCACCCTCCTCACTGGCTTTACAGTACCAGGTGCTTTAGAGGGCTCAACGGTTGGGTTTTGGTTGATCTTCTTTTTGGTCTCTTGCTTGGACTCCTTCCCCCTGGCCATGGCAGGGCTCTGGCTTGTTGGTGGGGCCTTTTTGGCAGTGGGAAGGGGAGTTTTCTCCATGCGTGTGCTGGGGGTGGGATGGGACACCCTGATGGTTGTCACCGCGCCCCGAGGGAGCGAACGAGTGGGTGGCTGTGATTCAGTACTCGATGGAACAGGAGATGGGGCCACTGTGACCTTCGTGGCTTTGGTTGTCAGTCTTGGCAGTGATGGTGGGGTTGATACCCACGCGATGGTTGTACCCGAACCCCGAGCCTTGAGGGGTGCAGTGACCCTGCCAAGCTCCAAGGATGGGGCAGCAGTGGTCAGGTTTCTTAAACCCTGCAATGAGGGCTCTGTATGCCGTGGGGTACTGGGGGAGGCATTGGGATCCCTGGGAAGGAGGGGGATGAGAGGGGGCAGGTTTGGCCGGTAGGTATCTGCTTGCCTGCACTGTTTCTTCAGGTATTTACAGTAATGATGAGCTGCCTTGGCGGAAGGATAAATATCAAACTGGCAGATGGCTCCTTCAAACTGCACCGAGTGCTGGTTTATCTTCCCGAAGAGGAAAGATCCGTGTGGATCCAATGCCTCGTCCTTTTTATAATGCAAATCCGCATGTACCCTGCGCTTCCCACAAGAAGTAAATAAAGTGACTGTCTGGCCACGGATGTTGATGGCCAGATTGTGCCATTGGCCATCGTGGACATTGTAATCAAAATATACAGAGCGCTTGTGGCCCACATAGACTATGATCTTCCCAGGCACAAACTGGATGCCCAGCTGCAGTTTCCTCTTTTTGCTCTTGACAGCAAAGAGAAAAGCATTGTTGATGCGGTGGGAGCAGAGGCTCAGCACCAGGAGCAGGTCGGTGCTGGAGCCTGCGGGAAGAATGGTGCTGAGCGGCGCTTCGACACGTGCTCGCTGAGTGAAGATGACCCCTGATTTAAAAGGAATGACTCCTTGAGGAACTGTATGTGATGAGGACCAACTGCTCGATGGCCTTTTCCCTGACAGGCCCAGTCTTTGAAGAACATCCACATCTGAAAGGGAAGCGCAAAGACAGTGTGAGGTGTTGGGCAACCCAAGGGCTGGGTGGGTATGGGGAGCATCAAACCAATCCATGCTAAAAGGCAACAGGATGAAGGAAACCCAACTGTCCTCTCACACACATTCCAATACTCAGAATGGAGAGCATATAACACATCATGTTAGGAGCAAGTGCACGCTCAACTTGGTCCCGTCAGGGACCAGCTCCAGTTGTTCTGGAGGGAGCTGACCTCGCTACAAGGAAATGTCCCACTGAGCACCAACAGTCCACTTCTCTGGGATATAATTCCGAGTGCTGACCACACAGCTGGAAAGGAATCTGAACAACAGACTGATTGCAGAATTTTATATCCCCAGAAGGCAAGAAACAGAACCTTCAAAGGGAGCAAAGCCTTGTATCTGTGTCTCCAAATTAGAAGGAAGCAGCTTTTGATCTCCGGGACTCTAAAGGGTTTAGGGAAGCAAAGGTGCCTCCCAGTGTGAAAAGATTGCGCCTAGATTGCACTGAGCTACTTCAGGTTCTCAAAGCAGTGTATTTTCCCAGCAGATCATCTTACAGTCTCATTTTAATAGGTTGGAGGAACCAGACTTGGTTTGTGCAGGGATGAGAAATGACTTATGGAGGCCGTTGAGCAGAAGAGGTTAGACTTGCCTCCAGCGTTTGCCACCTAGGAGCAAGACGGGATGAAAGGGATTGATGTCCTTTCTTCACCAACCCCATGAGAAGTCCACAATGGACAGATGAGTAGAATCCTCTTGTTTTTAGCCCCCAGATCTAACAAGTGTCACACACAGCTCCAAGTCCAAGGCAGATTATCAGGCAAAAGCAATGCAGACTGGAGTCAGCTGGCAGCAGTCTCAGCTGAACTAATGAACTGGGGAAGATGCTGAGGTCTATGTGAAGTAGATGTGCCCAGACCTGAAAAAGGTGCTTATGCACCCCAATGCTCATTCTTTTACTCCAGCTCAATCATTTGGTCTAATAGAAGAGGTTACTTACATGTGTCAGCACTAGTGTGGCCAGCAGGACAGTGACTGTCCCCCTGTACTCGGCACTAGTGAGGCCATACCTTAAACACCATGTTCAGTTCTGGGCCTCTCACTACAAGAGAGACATTGAGATGCTGGAGCACATCCAAAGAAGAGCAACAAAGCTGATGCAGGGCCTGGAGCACAAGCGTGATGAGGGATGGCTGAGAGACCTGAGGGGCTTTAATCTGGAGATAAGGAGGCTCTCCACAACTACCTGAAAGGAGGATGGAGTGAGGTGGGGATCAGCCTCTTCTCCATGTAACAAGTGACAGGACGAAAGGAAATGGCCTGAAGTTGTACCAGGAGAGGTTTAGATTAGGCATTAAGAAAACTGTCTTCACCAAAAGGGATGTCAAGCATTGGAACAGGCTGCCCAGGGCAGTGGGAGTCACCATCCCTGGAGGTACTGAAAACACATGCAAATGCGGCACTTAGAGACATGGATCAGTGATGGCCTTGGCAGTGTTACATCAACAGTTGGACTTGATCATCTTAAAGGTCATTTCCAACCTTAAAGATTCTATGATAAAGAAAGCCTGTAGTGATTACCGTTACACTACCACTGTTGAAAATGAGTTAGGATAACTATTTCCTTCCCTTTTCCCTGTCCAAACACAATCCCCATTACTCTATGACTCTCACGTTTAAGTGCTCTTTGGGGAAGCTTACTTTGGGCTGTATAATCCAAATGCTGATCTTGCAAGTTAAGCATTTAACTATGAAATGCACTAGTGTCAATCATGGCTGCACATGACCTGACACCATGGGACTGCAGCTTTCCTTGTTTAAAAGAAGTAAACCAGAGGTTGTCCAAAGAAAAACCAAGCTCCTTCACTAAAGGGACTTTGGAATTTGGCTTATTTTACCCTTAGCTATTAAATATTCATCACAATACCCAACATTTGGAGAACTGGCACTTTAAAAAGATCCTCAGTGTCAGCCAGAAGGGTTGTAGACTCAACCAGTCTGAGGCCTGTAATGCTGCTGGCCAGGAAGGGAGAAGAATAATGAGGAAACCTCTGTTCCTTCACTTTGGCAGAAACCTTGGCCATTTTTGCAAGAGCAAGTCAATCAATATTTACTTTGTCTGGGCTCAGCTTTATTCCCACCTTCCTTTTTTAAGGCAGCTTGACTCATTTCTAGCAGAGACTGCCATGGAGAAGATGTGTCAGATGTGAAAGAGGATGGAAATATTCCCACTCCATGCAAAGCAAGTAACTCACTGCACAGCATGTGCAAGTGTTAATAATGATGCTTCTCCCATACTATGACATCCTTGGTCCCCCACTGTTTTCCTGCAATATTGCCCAATGGGGCTGTCTGTCAGCAAAGCAAAGGTAAAGCTTTCCCTACTCTGCAGTGGATAGAGGAATCACAGCAGTATCTTCATACTGGATAATTTCCAGAGCCCATGAAATAGTAAAGGCCAAAGCCTGGGTTTAACAAAGTCAAGTGGGACCCTTGCCACAGACTTCAAAGGCAGCAGCATTTAGCTCTAAGGAAATACATTTACCACTTAAACTAGGTGGTAGGCTCCTCCAACTCCTACATGTAGTTTTAGGCTCCCTCCCAGAGACAGACAGTGGTGTCTCTACTGGCAGAGATGCTTTTACACTATTCATTTGGTAGCTGCTCTGCAAAGACACAAGGATGTGTCCCTCCTCAGAGGATGCTGCTGTACTTGCAATACCAATCCAACTGCATCCAACAGGGCTTAAAGGAAAACCAGCACAACCCAAACACTCCTTCCCTCAAAACCTACTAAGGTAGGGCCAAATTCTAGATGCCTACCCAAAACCTGACGAAAAAGAGACCTCATACAGGACATGAACGTGGACTTTCCAGCACCAGGTCCAGACACACAGCTCAAGTCTCCAGTGCACCCAAGCCCATCTCCCTCTCCATCCCATGCTGACTGCCGGTGGGGCATATCCCCTGGGACGACGGGATGCCATCAGCTACCATAAAACACAAGGTAATTCTTGGCTTCCTTAAATAGCTCCAAGTTTAGCAAAGCATTTTTTCCCCTTCAAATTTTTCCCTCTGTAGATTTTTCCATCAAAACACATATTGAAAAACACATTTACTTCGAGCCGCCTGGTCCCAGGTGCCTTCAAGCTAAGTTACAAGCATTCCTGTTGCAACACAAAGTGAGATGCGCAGAGATTCCTGAACAACCACATGATCATCTCTGAAAGAGGGGATAAAATGTTTTATTGCTCTCCATCCCATCGCTCCTTTCCCTTCCTTTTTCCCCCATGCAAAAAGCTTTACAAGAGCCAAAACGCAGGAGAGGAATAACTTGGAGCTTCCTAGATTCCGGCAGCTGAGATGTGATGCCCACAGCTAAAATTGGGTTGAATAAACACTATGCTTCCAAAAGTTACTGCCCAGACCCTTAGTCAGTGCACATCAGATGAACTCACTAACCTCATGATGTTTTGGATTTGTAACACTTATGGAAAAACCATCCTCTGCATTCCCTGATTTTCCAGTGTGCAGGAAGACCCCTAAGCCTTAAACTACAGTGTTTTCAAAAGCCCACGGCATTGGCTTAATTTCATCCTCACACAGATCTACAAACAAGCTCTTGTTGCTTTTGTAAATCTCATGTTTGGACGTTCTGAGTGATAACACAGCCTCAAGCCACCAGTGTTTCCTTACAGCCTGTGCTTCCTTGGAAGCGTTGGCTTTCTGGTACCCCAAGGAAGAGCCTGTCTGTGGGGAAACCAAGCACATCACAGAGAAAGCATCTCACAGGGGAGTTATCCACCATGCTAAGGTAATGCTATAGGAGCAAAGCGAGTTTTCTTTGGGTTCATGGCAACAATCAAAAGCCATAGCACCACCCATAATTATCATGGGATTAAAATGATGGCTAGAGATGAGTCTAAACAGCGTATTAAAAGTCGCCTTGAAAAGAAAGATGCCAAGACACACTATTTGTTCTGCCTCTTTATGAGCTGACATAAAACTTGCTCTGAAAACTGCTTGACTAAGTGATTCAGCCAGATGTTCACCTCTTCTGCATTGAGGCACAAGTTGGAAAATATGACATTTTTCAGGATTGCTGATGGCAGGGATGGATTTTCCTTTTTCCCCTGTAAAAAAAGTGCTCCATGGACTGAGCATCGACCAACTTGCTGTTTTCCCTTCATGTTTTACCGACTAAGAGGAGAGCCCTGGAGCCTGCTAGTCCACTTATTGTTGTCTGCTGCTTGCAGAGGAAGCTGCTCAGTTCCAACATGTACCCATGTAAAGCATCCATGTGGAAGAGATGTTACTATTTTAAGAGGAGATGGCTCTTTGACAAACAGGAGCTGCAGAGATGCTCAGCTCCTGCTATCAACCGTAAAAGTTGTTTCTGTTGGCTCTGAAGCTTTCCGTCTCTTTGATTATTATACCCCAACTTTTTATCCTGTCCCAAGCAGCACTAGGAAGGCGATGCCTGGAGAAGGGATGTAAAGACAGGGTGAAGGTGTGTGATCCCTCCCTTATAGAATACTCCCACTGCAGCACAGAGACTGAACCACAGTCATTCTACTGTTAACCAACACGGTGACATTTTTCTTCCTTAAATTTGCTTTTACTTTTAGAGTTCCCATCATCTCTATATGCACAACATCCCACGTGCCTGCAGAGGCAGGGCTGGGTTGCAAGGAAAAACCAGTCTGCCAGAGATGCTTAATTCCTTAAAGCCCTGGCCTCAAGGGGCACTTTCTGAAAGCAGTTAAGCCCCAGCAAGTGCAGGTAGATGCCAATGACATTTTAGTGCCTCAATCCCACCAGTTCCACCAGACAGAGAGGTACTTCTGGAACCCCTGTGAGGCACATAATCACCTGTAAACCCTGGTTCTTTTCCCAGCTGTTAACTGCATCATCTGCAGCACCAGTACTGCAAAGATTAGCAATAAAAGCACCTAATTCTGTGCATTAGGCTCAGAGACTACTAAATGATGGACCTGAACTGAGACCAAAGCATTTGGCTTCTACTTGGGTTGAAAAGAGAAAGAAAAGTGTGATTTACCTTCAGAATTTCCCTGTGAGAATCCCAGGAACCAGGTAAAACATAAAACAGTCCAGAGAAAGCAGAATCCCCTAGAAGTGGAAGAGAAGAGAAAATAATGAGTTTATACAATATTAGTAACAAAAAGCAGCCCCCCTGTTAAGGGTCTTCTCCTTGATCACAAGTCTAGTAGAGTCAGTGCCCACATGTCTCTGGGATATGGAGGATGAACGCTTAGCAGAACTGCACTTTCTTCCCAGTGAGATCTCATTTTACTACATAAAAGTCATCTAAAGCCTGCTGAATCCAGTGAAATGTTTTCTTACTGGTATTAGGGGCCATTGATCAAGCCTTGAACTAGGACCAGACTGGCATTTTGAGATGCAGGGACATCAGTGCCAGGCCAGCAGTCACCACTGCTACTCTTTGGCACTCACCCCATCTAAGACAGAACATCCTAAATGCAAGAGGATGGAGGAATAATTCCAAACTGGGAGGTTGAAAGATGTGCCAGGAGTACGTGATGTTTATAAGGGTATGGGTAGGAAATGGGCTGGCACGCAGCGACACGTTGCCTGCATCTCAGCAAACAAACTCCAAGTCTTAATGCTTAAAAATACTCTAAACATACAAAATCCTCATTGGATCTATTCCTCATTTTACACCCAGATACAATGATGGGAGCAGCTTAAAGCCACTCAGCACTTTGCTGCTGCCATTAATGACTTTCTCATTAGCTTGGTAGAGCTGCAGACGCCCAGAGCACAGTGTTCTTGCAGACCCCTTCATGCCTGAGAAGGAATTGGTCAAACCTTTCTGTTAGCTCTACTTTAAGCCATTGAAAACAGCAGCAGAGAGGAAAGCTTTTACCAGAAAGGTAGCTGAAGTCCCCCCCTTCCTTCTCCAACTGCTTTGATTTGCAGCCAAATAACGAACATAGGAAACTCCTTGGTTCAGCTCACTTAAAGCTGACAGTGGAAAGTTTGAAGATTGAATTCCCTCATCTTCTAGAGATGATATTTAACAGCTTGATCAGCAAGGGCTGCTGGAGGGACAAAAATGTAAACTACAGAAAGCCCTCAGCCAGAAGAAAGCAGCGTGGGACGCTCGCAGGTTGCTCTCCGTTTCAGCCAAGCCAGTACGAACACTGGGATATGCAAAGCAGTGCCAAAGTGCAGCTTGCTCCTCTCTTTGGACCAGACAAAGAGAAATCATTTATCCCATGGGACTAGAGATCAATCTTCTCCTGCCACCAAGCTTCAGCACAAGAAAGCATCCTCTGAGGCAGTATATTACCCTGGACCAGATCCTCCCTCGGTGCAGGAGACCCTTTTCCCACAGCTAAAATGAAGCCACGGTGATTTCCATGTCAGTGGGGAAACCTGGCCTTGAGTTTAAAAATCCATGCAGGAATCCAGCCACTAACTCATATTTTAAGGCTTGAAGGGACAAACGCTGGAGCAGCCCTGCATGGGCTGGGAAACAAATGAGATGAACCACATCGTTCTTTGCTCTTTTCCATTACCCTGACACTGGGCTGCTCATTTCAGGAGCTCTGGGGCTGCTTTTAGTTTATGCATGAAGGAAAACCAGCTTGGAACAGCCAAATCATGGTAATCCATAGCCAGCCATATGCTAACCAGGAAACCCTCACTGTGCTCAAGAGATCTCCAAAAGGAGAGACCTGGATGTTTTATGCCCACTTCATCCCATGGGACACTGCTGTCAGACTGAAGACTCTGCTGGGTCCACAGAGAGCTGTTGTTCCAGTTCATTCCAGGGATGTAGGAGGGGAAGTAGAACAGGATGAGTCTTCATGGCTGCCTTTAGCAGCCCTTGTATGACTTACAAGAGGCTAAAACCCACTGTATGGGAAAACCTGCATTTCTATGTTCACCTCCAAAGAACAATGGTGTTTTAAGTTGTGGATGCAATTCTACGTGTGCATTGAGCAAAGATCCTTGCTGGGTGTCATCAGCGGGGTTTGACTGCCCAAAGAGGGCCTGGGGAAACGAGGGGAAGAGGGTGACCAACATGACATGAGCACCAAGGGCAGCAGGAGCCTCAGAAGCATTAATAACACCTAACAAAGCCCAGATCTTTCTTTGAAGGATACCTTCACAACCCCAATTGGCTTCCAAAGCCCTCCTTGACCAACAACAGTGAAGGGAACAAGCCTTAGAGGAAAATCCAGCACGTAATTTCATTCCAGTGACACCGACGGGGCTATAAAGGAGACGAATGCTCAGCGTGGGATCCAGCTGGCCTCAGCCCCACTCCTGGACCCCTCAACACAGCCAATACTGTAAGAGCAGAGAGCGGGGCCGGGCGCCAGAATGCTAAAGAAAAACACTTTGGCAAAGTTTACCAACTTAATGGAAAAAGCAAAAGCAGGTTCCAAATGGCAGAGCTGTGACTGATGGGGCTGGTAATTATGGCAGGGCTCTATAATGCAGGCTCTTTTGCAGTTACAACTCTGCAGTGACAGGATTGCATAAGCAGCTTGAGGAGCAATAATAAAGGAAGATTCTTCACCTTATATAGAGCAATCAAACTCACCTTGCCTTTATCTCAGCATCTTCCCACAAGCAGCGATTTCCACAGAGACTCTGTCAAGAGGTACCCACTAAAGGCATTTCTTTTATTGCACAAAGCCTATGAATACCAGAATGAGGATCTCATTGCTAGTCCCTAGGTGAAGAAGTGCCCCTAAATACATATTATGCAAGCTCATGTGAGCCCTAAAAGTTTCCCAGTGCAAACTCCCTTTATAGCGAACTGAAGCTACTGAATGCAGCTTGAATTTGCTTCACTTCTCTTTGTGAAGTTCTGTGATCAGTCCATGGGAACTAAGCAGTGCCAAAAGTACATGGCAAAAGACAACAGAGAGGGATAGAGAAGCGCAAAGACTGGCAATAACACTTCTCAACCTTAGTGGTGATTTTAGCATCTTCCAAGTGGGGAGGTAGCAGCCAAGAGCAAGTATCCTGAGGAGCTCCCGTTAAAGAAACCAGAAGGTTGAGGCATCACTTTTGGCAGGGCCTCAGGGCAGGAGGTCTCTCTACATGGTGGTCTGCACCAATACAGAGACCTGATGAAATCACAGCTGCTCATTAGCACACATCCATGTGTGTTCCATCCATGGCAGCGTTGAGGCCAGGTTGGATGGAGTCTTGGGTGACACAGTCTAGTGTGCAGTTGGGACTAGATGATACTAAGGTCTTTTCCAACCCTAATTATGAGTGTATGAACAGCAAAACCATGCCCTGGGTTTTCAGCTTCCAGGCTCACTTGCCACTTTCTCACTGCACAGATTTCTGAGGGCAGCAAATGGTGACCTGGAGGCTAAAGGAGAGTTATCACCTCTTCAGTTGGCTTGTGCACAGCATGTCTTGCTGCTGCAGCCCCAGTAAAGTCAAGGTGGCAGCCCCAAGAGCTACAGTAAAGGAAAAATCCTGTCGGACATACTGGTTCTTAGCTGACAACCACAGGAATAAAGCACTGCGCTGAACTAAGGTCAGTAGTAAAACGATAGTCTCTAGGGAAGACTTGGTCAGGAATTATCCTCCAAAAAAGTGCAACTTTGACAAAGCTGAAGCAATCTGTAAAATAGCTGTGATCAGCCAATACTCCACATTTCTGGAATTGGTTGGAACAACTTCAGCTTTTTTAAATGAAAAGACTTGTCCCTGTCTTAAAAAAGAAGTCCAAATGCTTTTGACATCTTTTTTGCTTAGGTGACGGGTTGAAGCTGAGGAAAATGCTACATGGGCTTTATTTGGTTTTCTCCCTCATTCATAGCGAGGAAATGTCTTTGAAATTGCATTCTTGCAGGGTGGAAAAACAATTCTCCCCCCATTCCCCTCCACTCAGGTGCATTCTTTTCTATCCAAAAGACCAGAAAGCCAGCTGGATGCTGAAAATGGGTTTTCAAGAATAGCAAATCTTGAATAGCAAATAGCAAATCTGTCTAGCTGCAGATCAGACAGACCATCTTATAAGAGAAAACGTCTCTGCTGCTTAAGATCCTTTGCACAAGACTGGAGGTGATACAAGACCCCCAAGCGGTTTTGACGAGTCAATGAGAAACAAAAATCACAACCTACATACTGAGGCTTCAAACCACACCATGGCATCGATTCCACTGCCAGCTTTTGGGATAGAAGCCTTACTCTGCGCTAGTGTCATCCTTTGCAGAGCAGACTTCTGGAAACTCTATTTCTCCTCTCACCCTCCGTTTCTGGAGAGAGCAATGGGAATATATAGTTATTATATAGAGATGTCCCTGTATCAATCCCTTAAACCTTCACTGACCCTTTCTGCAATATAAACCAGCTATTGATTTATTCCTCCAGTCAAAGAGTTTTGTCTGGTGTACACAGGCCCTGTTGCAAAGCCCAGCAAGCTAAGGGAGATGGCTGCAATGGCGTTCATTTTTAACCCCCATTCAGCTTCTCTGTTTTTAAGGCACAGAAGAAAGCACACAAGCAAACATGCCCAGAGACCCACATTTCCATAGTCATTCAGAATACACTGAGATACCTAAGGGTGGTGGAGAAACTGTCAATATCACGTGGGGAAGAATGAAATTCAATACCATCCAGCATCAAGCACATAAAACATCCAGAATCCATCCTGCTCCTCCTAGGCACAGGTTTATCAAACCTGATTTATAGATGTCACTAGAAATTCATTGCATGTGAAGCCATAAGAGGAAGATGAAGTGGGACATTGGTGCTTTAACAGTGTTCTGAGCAGAGGGTTATGAAGATTGCCACACCATTATTACTAGACACTCCAGCAGCCCAAATAGGGACACTCACTAGGACGGGAAACTCCCCAGGCCAGGCTCCAACCCATCCTTGGGGTGATCCTGGATGGAAACGTCTCAACTCCTCCACCCTGCCCCAGTGCTTGGAGCGTGTGTGCAAACCCAGGAATCCCTGGGGTTTCTCTGGCATCGTTTCTGCCCAATCTAACCTTAATTCCGGATGGAAATGCCCTCAGTGCTCTGTGCCTGCAGAGATCTATCTGCAAATGCAGCCCAGAAAAAGCTGCTGCTTCCTTTGGAGGCCCCCGGTAGCAAAGGAGGGACCCATGAGGGGCTGACAAAAGGGAGCCATCATTCTCCAAGGGGAGGGACATTGCTCCTGGCAATGGTACAGCAATGGGTCTCAACTACTGCAAAGCAGCTTTGCTCTCCTAAAGCCTGCACATCAGCCAGGCACAGGAGGGCCTGGATGCATGAAGACCTGGTGTTTCCTCCCCCATATATACATACACTTCCTCTTCATTTTCCCTTCTTCAGGAGGGAGATGCTGATCTGCATATGCAGAATGGGGAGACATCAGTGTGACCAAGCCTCCATCCCACAGACACCTTGTTCTTTCGATGGGTTTATACCCGATATCCGCAGGCAGAAGGATGATGGGTTTCAAACCACTGGTACTTCCTCCAACTGGGAACTAGAGCTTAGGTAGTCATTGCACAAAGCTGGCCCAGAACTACCCAGCTCCTCACCTCCTAGATGCAGGACTGACACGGCTGTGATGACCCAAACACCCTTCATACACCTCTCAGCAGCTTCCCAATAGGGGATCTTCCCTGACAACCCATTACTCTGTCCCCTCTATGCTGCCCACCCCTCTCTGCCTGTGTGATTGACTTTGCTGCTGTGTGAAGTGACAACACTCACTACCGGCCCTTGCCTTTGTGCTCTCGGTTAGTAACTGGAGCCCTCAACAAACAGCAGTGCTAAGCGTGATCTGTCATCTAACTCCTCTTTTTGTCCTGCCAACAAGCGCCTTTGCATTCCTTCATTTTGTGAATGGGGTTTGGCAGAGCCCTATAGAATTCCCCATTGTTTCCATTTGCACTTCAATCAGTGTCCATCATTTCTACTTTATGCCCCCAACAAATTGGCAAAGAAAGAGGGCGGGGAAAGGACCCACATGCTCAGTGTCTGTCTCTGGTCATAGACTTCCTACAAGCCCCTCAGCACAAGACCTGGGCAACCCTCGGTCACTGATGAAGCCTCCATAAACACTGCTTCAAACAGGGCAGATTTTATCCCCCTGACCCATTGCAGAAATGGGATGAAGCTGGAGCTTTGAAGGGACCTGCTCAGAGATGCACACTGATGCAGCAGGAGGGAGACCTGGACACTGATCCAGGGGCTGATCCATCCGGATGCTGTACCACTATGTGTACAGCTTCCTCACCCAGCATGTGGACCAGGCGGCCCAGAGCAGCATCACACCAGCAGCCCAGTGACAGCAAGCAGGCACCCAAGAGCATCCACAGACCTTCTCCATGGCCAGCACAGAGCAGCAGGGCTGGAAGGGGCCAAGGTGGCACAACCACAGCCGAGTGCTGCTGCCTGGGGATGTGCTCAGTGCATGGGGGAATGCAAAACCTTCTGTGGTTCAATGAGCCTGTGCACTCCCAAAATGCATCAACAGGGCACTTGGAGCTCACGGAGCCTGTAAAAACTTTGTGTTCTTCTGGTTTTACAAGCTCTGGATGCTTGAGCCAGGACAAAGCTTCAGCACACGCTGCAACTGCTCCTCCATCCCACTCCCATCCATGGCTCTCCTGCACATCTGGCAGCTCCCTCAGCATCCAGCCCAGCTCCAGAGGATGCTGCAGGAGCACTGGGATAAGCAGGACCCCCAGGGCCATGCGGGAATGCACCAGAGCATTCCCATTACAAGCTGCCCTCAGGCAGCACAACCCTCCCTGAGGATGACTCGATGGCACAAGGATGGCCTGGTGAGCCCAGGCACAAGCCAGCTCTGGGCTCAGAGGACCCTCTCCAAGACTGACAGCTTCAACAGGAACATCCAGGATAGGATGCACAGCACTTTGCCAAGCAAATTAAAGCCCAGCACCAAAAAGCCCATCGGGAGATAATGCGAAGGGTAGCAAGCGACCTCTGCTGAAGAGGGAACGGAGCAGCAGCACGCCGGTGAGGTATTGGAGCCAGAGGAGATCCTGGGAACAAAAGGCACACGCACTCGGAGTCACCAGAAGAGACCAAAGCGCACATTCCCCATGGCACTGCAGCACAAACCCCGTGCACAGCGCTGGCCTGGCACACAGATGCAAAACCAGATGTAGACCTGCAGCGAGCAAGCAGCAGAGCCCATCATTTCCTAAACCCATCCTCATCAGGATCTGATTCTCCTGGGGCTCAAGCAGGACATCCCCATCCTTATCTGTATGTACCATGACTGCGGTCACCTCCGTCCTGCTCACAGCTTGAAGCCCTGTGCGGTGTCTGTGCCTTGTGCCAAGTATCCCCCCAGCACCGGGGCCCTTCACTGTGAAGCTGCTCTTGGTCTTTCAAAGCAGTCTTTATCTGTGTGTTCCCTTTTCCACTTTGTCTTTGACACACAGATCCCATCACACAGTCCCATGCTGGCGCTTCCCTCCGCACCATGCCCAGCATCAAAAAGGTGCAACTGGGAGATGCAATTACCAGCATCCCTAAGCATGCCGTCGCCACGTCTGCACAAAAACCCACCCTAAAGCACTGAAATCCGGTCCTTGTGAACATAAACCCCCACAAAACCTCGAGGAGAGCTGTTTGCAGCCCCTGGGAGCAGTTCTGCTTCTCTCCACATAACTCCACGCTCACAGACACAGGCAGGGAGAGCCTGCCCCAGCCTACAAAGGAAACTGCACATTCATCCACATCCAAGCTGCGGCTGCCGGCAGCGGGGTGACCCCGGGGTGCAAAGAGGTGTTGGGGAGGGGGGGGCATTCCCAAATCCCATCACCCCTTTCCCCCCTCCTTTCATCCCATCTCCCAGCCCCGCCTGGCAGGAGCAGAGGGATCCTGCTCACAACTTTCCCCAACTGCCAGGCAGAAGAATCCCAGCCTTTTCCAAGGGAGTGTCGGTAAATCATCATTACATCCGACAACGCAACCAGCACCGCTTAACCCTTTGCTGCTCGCCGGCAGGAAAAACAACAACAGCAGCAGATTTAACAATGGGGAGAGTAAAAGCGGGTCCCGGCTGTGCGAGAACGGGGGTGTGCGAGCAGTGGGTTTATGCATACACGCGTACACATGGATGCGAAGAAGCAATCGTGTGCCCGTGGGTGCAGCGGACACGCGGGGAACGCGCTACCAGCACCCTCCGCCTCACCCGCGGTTCTCCCGCTTCCCGGAGGACGAGCCCAGGTATTCCTGAACCCATATCCCGAGGGAGAGCGAGGCTGAGGAGCAGCATCCCAGGAAGGGCTGTAGGGCCCCCCCCCGGGTGCCCGGTGGAGGTGTGCGAGGGGAAGCGGGGAGCTGGAATCGCCCCTTCCTGCATCCCGCATGGGGAGGACATCCCCCCGGTGCTGCTGCCGGGCTGGGGGCTCCTATCCCGGGTGCATGGGGATGGGGATTGAGGGGTGTTCGGGGGTTCTCCTGCCCTTCCCGGCTCCAAGCTCGCCGCTCTCACCCCCTTCCGCACACCGCAGCCCCGCTCCCCCCCTTCCCCTGCTCCAGCAGCGTGGCCTCCCTTCTCCCAGCTCATTCTCCTCTCCAGCCCAGGAGTTTTCACATCATCCCCTGGCAGAGGAATGTCTTCCCCCCAGCCCATTCCCGGGAGCCCAGCTCCCTTCCCGGCTCCCCCGCACCCCCGTCCCGCCCGGGATTCCCTTTCCCCAAGCGCCGGGAGAAGCCGGACTTTGTACTCACCCCCTGCCTGCTGCTGTAGCTCTGAGTCTGGAGACCGGCTCTGATTCCGGCTCCATCACGTTTAGTGCATTGTCTCTTTCGGGCAAGTTTTGCAGCAATCCATCAGAAAAAGGGGGTCAGGCCGGTTTGTGGGTACATCCTTCCCAGGAGCTCAGCTCTCTGCCTCTCTAAGGGGCTCAGCTGTGTCAAAGACACCCCCTGGCCCGGACGGCTCACTCCTTCCTCCTTCTCTTCTGGGTCCTTTTGCTTACACAGATCTTTTAATCCCATTTAACTCCCTCTCGGCAGACTGCAATTACCTTGGGAAGAAGGAGAGAGAACAGAAAGTACACGCTAGGAAGCCGGGCTGGCCCATGGTCGCTGGATTTCTCGCCTCTTTTCTTTCCCCTCCTTATTACTGGTACAATTTCTGGGAGCTCTGATTTCCAAAAGTCCTTGATTTAAAGTGTTCGGTTGGGGTTCCCCCCCACCCCCCCCTTAGCTGTTACTTTGTTGTTTGGTTGGTGGTTGTAATTATTGTTTATTTTGCAGTGCAGATGTGCCTCCCACCACCAGCCCCCCCACACCCCCCCCAAAAGGATCTCTCCTCTGGGTTTAAGAGAGAAGAGGAAAAGGCAGATTTGGAGAAATGAAAATGATTTAAGGATGGCTCCGCGGCCTCTCTCTGCTGCCCTCCTCTGTAGCAGTGAAGCACTTACAGAGAGAAGAGTAATACAGGGCAAATAAATAATTAACGAAGAAGAAACTCTTTTGGGCCATTGAAGGGATGAAGACTCTGCCAGGCGCCATGGAGGAAGGTGCAGGCCCCCGCTCTGGGGAGGATGCTGATGGAGGCGGTTGCTCCTCTGCTCTCACTGCCTGGGGGCCGTAAACCTGCAGCCTTCCACCTACCCCACCATGGACCTCAGTACCAGGTACCTGCCTTGGCTTCTACCTTGGGTTGGTTGGGAGCCTACGGAGAGGGGTTTGAAGGAGTAAAATCTCCCCCCTTGGCCCTGCCCGCATCCTCACCCTGGTCCCACAGGGAAGGGGATTAAATGGTGGCATCTCCCCCCTTCTCCCATCACCAAATGATGGAAACTGCAGCCAGGAGGGCAGGGAGTGGGGAATGAGTTCTCTTATACAAATTCCATCAGGGTAAATCAGCTCCCAGGTCCGCTTTAGCCAGCTTTGCCAGCAGAGGGGACTTTTGCACGTGGATTAAACCTTCATCCCTGCTCTCCCTCCTCTTCCCACAGAGCACGGACCCAGCCACTGCACACACCCTGGGGTAACCAACAGGTCCCTTTTATCCACACCAGGACACAGCAAACCCCTCAGCTCCATGGGGTACCCTCAGGGCAACCCATCACACGGAGCCCCCCCCCCCCACCTCCTCCTCCTTGCACCCTTGGGTGCTCCCACAGCCCTGCTCTCTTCCCCTTGCACAGCATCCCTGCCTTGGGCACTTACTTTGCAGCGAGGCGAGAGGCTGGGCAGCATCTCCTCGCAGCCCCATGTTCATTGGCATTCATTTGTCCCAGCAGCTTACACCAATTTCTAGTTCTTGAAAGAATAATAATTAAAAAGGAAATAAAAAGGGGGGGGGGGAGCCCAAAGGGCCTCTCAAACCCCTTCCTCCCTCCTGCCCTACGGTGTCTCCTGGGCTGGGGGTTCACGGCCCCCCCGCTTTCTGGCAAGGCTGAGGTCCCCCCAAATTCAACAGATAATCCTTCCCCAGGGCTGGCTCGGGCAGGTCCCCCTCAGGCCGTCGCTCCTCTCGTGGGTCATGGATACCGCAGGGATCCAGGAGTGAAGAGAGGCTGCGGCAGGCGCTGGGAGGGACATGGATGTGAAAGAGGTGGGAATTCTAAGGCTGCCCTTGTCCTTTTAAATAGCTGCAGGCAGGGACCCGGCTCGCTGGCGGGGGTGCCCCAGGTATCCGGTTTCAGCAAACAGCAGCTAATGAGCAGAGATCCAGCCTCCGAGGGGCAGGTTCAGCGGCTCTGCGGGGCAGGGGCACCCCCGGGTACCGCATCGGGAGGGGATGGGGCCGGGGTGATGCTGGAGGAGGGAATGGAAGGCTGCGGGTCACGGCTGCTGCAAGGACAGGTCCTGCGGGGTGCTGAGCATCAAAGCTGCACGAAGGTATTCTCTATCTTGCCACATTATTCCCCCAAGTACCTGGGGCAGGACCAGGCAGAACTAAAGCATCTTGGACCCGGGTAAGGGCTCTAAACTTAGACAAATACAGCCACAGGTAGGATCAACACTGACCCACCAAGCACCTGAACCTGAAGCAAAAGGGGGGTGATGTTAGTGTAGGACTGGCCTGACTCAGAAATGCAGGTTTCACTTAAAAAACTGGCCTCAGAATGTGGCCAGAAGTTGAGGTTTCCACCATAAATCAGATCTCATAACCCCTTCTCTTACCATGCTAAGGGCTTCTCTCCTTAAACACATACAATTCAACTTAGTTGTGGTTTTGCATCTCCCAGTTCCTATGAGCATAAGGCTTTACTCATACCTTCGCTCTGAAGCATCTGCATTTTGCTTCCTTGCTATAACAGATGAAGTGAGTAATGGCAACAACAAACTTTGCAACAAGCAGTTTTATGACTGGGGTAGGTAACGAACAGCCTCAGGATCCACTGTCCTCAATGCAACCACAATGAGTGCACATCCAGGTACTTGTAAGAAACTCCTATGTCCAAACAAACCTACCTCTGGACCCTCAGAAGGGCCAGGAGCCCAGACCACCCATCCAGGGCAGCTTTGAGGATTAGCACCTGAGGGACAAAAGCTTGTCACAAATCACATAAAATCTTGATTTCTTTGCTATTTTGTTTCCCAGCTGCTTTTACCATGTTTCCCAGTCACGCATTCCTCATATTCCAGCCAAGCCGAAGTGTTTCAGATAAAGCTTTCATCTATTAAAAAGGACTTTGCAAAGAAACGTGTGGAAATTCCTGTGCTGTTGAATACACCTTGTATCCTCCTGCTTTATCTCTCCTCTCCTCCAAACCCAGGACGTATTTAATACCCTTCCTTCCCCTCACAAAACCCTCCTCTACAAAGACAAGAACAAGGCTCTGGCTTCCCAAAGTGAGAACCAGAGCAGATGTGCTCCATCTTTGTGCAGGGATGTATGGAAACGGATGCCTATTGGGCAAGGACTACAGGTCCAAGGACCACCATAAAACACACTTACAGCCCCGTCCTCAATACCTTTCACATACTTACATGAACACTTTCAGACTAAACACATGCACAAAAGCTTTGCTAACAGACATAAATGTAGCCCAGTGGTAGGGAAAAAGGGAATTAGCTTAAAACAAAAGGAAACCCAATGCTGCTGAAGCCAAGGCTTGTGCCAAGTGAATGCAGGTTCAGGAATGAGACCTCATTCTTCACGAAGAGAAAAGCCACAACGTATGATGTGACTAGAAATAGATGTAGCAGATTTATTTGTCTTCCCTTCCAAATTTAAATAGAAGCCATTTTAAAACACTGAACAAACTGAAGGAAATCAGCGCAGCGGTGAAATATGAAACAAGGAGGGGGGAAAAGAGACTTGGAATTGACTGTTCCAGTTTAATTAGCCAAACTAAGGGAAGGGGAGGAGGCAATGCTGCCACGCACCACCCAACGTGGGGAGCAGGGAACAGAACACTTGCTTTTGACAAAATACACCTCTCCAAAACGCAGCCTGTCATTACTGCCTGGATAAACACAGTGTTTAAAACACCCAGCCCTATTTAGCTGCGTTCCAGAAGGATCAGTTCCCACCTCTCCAAGGATCCGTAGCTCGGTTAAGCATCAAGGCTATTTATTAATGTGATTTTGCCTCCCTGCTCCTTTTGGAAAGCCAAGCGTGAAGGCATCTGGGAGCCATGGTGAGCACGCATTACAGCTGTGCTGCATCACTCGGTGCCCACCTTGAAGGACCAGAGGAACCCCAGGCACTAACATGGGTTGCCCTCCCGGTTTGGTTTGGCCTGAAGAACAACGCTGTTCAATCATCTATCCTTTTGCTCAAGTCAGAGCATCCCACATCACCCACTGCCCCCAGAATAAGGAATTATAGGGTTATATTTGGATAAATACCTTATTCAGGTTGAAACCCATGGCATGGCAGGCAGAAGGCAGGGGCAGCAGGAAACCCAAGGCACTGGAAAAATCCTGTGGGAGGGATCAAACAAACATGTGAATAAGGGGGATAAAGAGCCTTTCACTGCCCTCTGGGCCGAGGATCTGCACCCAGCCCAGATTGGGAACACCTAAACTTGGTGCCTGGCTGAGAGCTGCTGGAGCACGAGGGAAAGGGAGCCCACCCTGTGGGAAGGGACATTGCCATGGAGGGTGATGGTCCCAGTGGTCATGGGAGGACACAGTTAATGTGGCTGTGCAGTGTGGCCCAGGATCACATGGAACAGGGCTGCTGGGGAGGGCTGGATCCACATCCGTGACCTCAGTAGGAACAGAGGATAAACCACCCACAGGAATGGGGCTCATCCCCATGTAGTCACTATAACCCATCAGCCATCCTGGATCTCCAGCTCCTGGGGATGTCTTGTTGCAGGCTGACCTGGTACCTTGGCAGCAAGAAGCTCCTGGAAAGCTGTAGGCAGGGGGCCTGGTGCTGATCCCTGGCACAAACCTGAATACCAAAGTGATCATTTCTATCCCTTCTTGCTCCCTTTGAGAGCAGCCCGAGCCCTCTGCCCTTGTGTGCACCACGCTTTGCTGTAATGCTCTCCCAGGTGCGCAACGCCCTGCACAGGATTCCCTTATCTCTACCCAACTCTTTCTGTATTTAACATCACCAAGCTGGCATTTCTTACACTCATGAGCTCTATTTGAATGACTGCCACTACTTCACACCCTGGACTAAGGTCTGCTTTATCCTGTAGGGACTTGGTCATGAGCAGAAACCTGCTGATGAGCTCCATTGGGTTGCTGAGAGCTCTCCACCCATGGCACAGTCAGGATCTCCCTGACGGCAGAGCTGGTCGGGTTGGGGTCCAGATCACCGGTGCTCCTATTCCTTTTCTCTCTCTGGCTTAGGCCACCACTCCAAGACAAGGCTATTTCAGCTGAGGAGCAGAACATGCAGCACTTCTGACTTCAGGGACCGCTGTCTGACAGCTGTTTCATGATGCTAAAGCTGCTGTGGTTACATCTCTTGTTCCCAGCGCGCTGTGGGGAGTAATTATACAAGAGATGTTCAGAAAGCTCAAACCCATGTAAGCAAGCCCAGTGCTGTTTCCCCCTCCCCACGGCCTGATGCAGCCCATCCCAGCCTGTGCCACAGGGGCTAGCAGGGACATGTCTGAACTTTGCAGCCGTTTGATGTTAAATGCTTTACATTCTTTTCAGGAACACTAAAGGCTTTTGTCTCTTGACCAGTGCTCTGGGGATGCCACGTCTGGCAAAGACTGATCTGGTGCTTTTCCAGCTATACCCTATCACATCGGGCTGCCTGGCCAGCAGAGAGGTAGGAATGGCTGTTAATCATTAAACACAGCCTTTCTCCATTGGAACGAGAGGAAACACAATGCAGCGACACAAGTCCAAGCCCACCCTTCTCAAGAAAATGCTGCCTGCTGATTATAACTCTGCCATATGTTTCTATTCAGGTATTTCGAGAAGTACAGCTTTACAGGGTAGCTGGGAAGCAGATAATTCAGGTGTTATAAGCAAGCAGGTTGAACTGGCAGGTAAGCTATGATAGAGTAATGCATTGGAATGCTTTGACAGGAGGATCGTACAGCTCCTAAATCCTGACTATTTAGGATATCAAGCAAAGGCTGCCTGGTTTTGCTAACATCCATTTGTTTTCCCTGTTTCTCCATGTGTTCCTAAGCTGTATTCAACCTATCGCTGGTTCAGGACCTATTCAATCACTGGTGCTACTGGAAAATACAGGAGTCAACATATAGACAGGAAACCTGGAGAGGGGCTTGGGACAAGGGATGTAGAGCCAGGCCAAGGGGAATGGCTTTAACCTGCCAGAGGGGAGACTGAGATGAGCTCTTAGGCAGAAGCTCTTCCCTGTGAGGGTGCTGAGGCGCTGGCACAGGGTGCCCAGAGAAGCTGTGGCTGCCCCATCCCTGGCAGTGTTCAAGGGCAGGGTGGACACAGGGGCTTGGAGCAAGCTGCTCTGGTGGAAGGTGTCCCTTCCTGTGGCAGGGGTTGGAGCTGGATGAGTTTTAAGGTCCCTTCCAACCCAAACCATTCCATGATTCTATGATCAAAATCCCCACTGAGCTGCTGCACAAGTGGAAGCAATGTTTCCAGTCTGGAGGTTTGCTACTTAAATACATCAGCGAGCACAAGTGCTTTTCCCAAGGACCAAGCCTGGCTGGTGGAGATGGATGCGTGCTACCCTAGTGAGTGCAGGTTAGGTGATGTTTCTCTAAAGAAAGAGCACATCTTCCTCCATGAAACAGAGCCACACGGTGAGCCTGACCTGTTCTGAGCACATGGGATAACACTGGGGAGCTGCAGGCGACAAACACTGGAAGGTACCAGCTAGGAAGTCACACCAAGTCCTTTCAGAGAAGGGATGCTGTTTGCTCTGTGGCTGCATAAGCTGAACACAA